ACAACGAGGATGACTCCTCTATCGGGTCCCTCAACATGATGGACAAGAAAATGGCTGCGGTCGACAAGGCTCTTGCCGACTTCGACTTCAATCATTCAGATGGAGAGATCTCCGTCTGAGGATTAGGCCAGGATGATGATTCAACGGAACCATGTTCCGATTTCTCATACCTAAGTGAGGAAGATATCTCACTAACTAGTAAACAAGAATTGTTTGCAACTGACGAAGTCTACGGCAAATTAGATAATCGCCTAGAAGCTGCTCAACTAGATTCTGACGATCTGTTCAGCATCGTTAACTTCGTCCATGGCCAATCAACTCATCAACTTTGCAAGACAAGAGACCTCAAAACTATCGTCTATGTTAGATTTAACAGACGAGAGAAAGGGAAACAAAAACCCGTTACACTCTGTTGCTTACTGGATAATACAGGAGCATCCGGAACTTTAATTACTCAACTCATGTAAGAGTTTACTCATGAAGAATCATGGGGGCGTCCAAACATTACGGATTGCTTCTGTAAAAGAATTGAAACCCCGCACGAAGTGTAAGGGCACACTCATGATTCCTGAGTTCCGCGATAGTAGAATTATCGAATGGAATTTACACGTCACCAAGAACTTGGGGGCGCATGACATGATCATAGGTCAAGACACTCTCTCCGACCTAAGAATCAAGTTTGATTTCACTACCATGTCAATGGAGTGGAACAGCATATTTTTCCCTGCGAAAGATGGCAATACCGATGGAGAAGAAAACTTCTCCATTCCTGATCCTGCGCGTCAACGACAGTGCAGATAGTCTCAAGAAGATTCTTGATGCGACATAGAACAAACTGACTTAAGGCAGATGTGCCAGAGTCGAAATCATTTAAATAAGGAAGACAAGAACTGCCTCATGCCTTCTCAACCAAGTGCTCCGACCCAGTCGAGGGTACTTGGGAGAGTTGCAAATGGACGACTACGAAGTAAGAACTTCGTCCCGACGCTAAATCCTATTATACTAGGGCCACCCTACCCCACGGGTCCATACCAACACTCTTAAGAGGAGTTGAACGTCTCTGCAAGCAGGAGTACTCAAAGAGAAAACTGTTCCGAGTGGCGGCACCACTTTTATCATTCCCAAGAAAGAGGGATCTGAACGATTCATCTCTGAATTCCGGGAACTGAACAAAAGGATTAACGAAAGCCTTATCATCCAAAAATACAGGACATGCTCTTGAATCTAGAGATCAAGTACGCTACTAGTCTAGACCTGACATGGGACACTACACATCGAGCTGTCACCTCACTCGAAGCAACTCTGTACCATCGTACTCCCGAGGGGAAAGCACGAGTACCAGAGGTTGCCAATGGGCTATTAATAGTCCCGACATCTTCCAAAGGAAGATGAAAACACGCATGCATGACTTAGAAAATGTCCGTGCATACATTGATGATCAACTATCTAACTGACGACGATCTGGTGGATCACGTTGAATAGTTAGATGAATTTTCCAAAGACTTCAAGAAGTCGGAATTAAAATCAACACTACCAAGGCCTTCCTCGAAAGAGAAGAACTTGAGTATCTAGACCATTGGCTACTCGAGAAGGAATCCAACCTTTAACTAAAGGACAATAGATGCGATCCAGCTATCGCTCTCCTACCAACAGGAAGGAACTCGTGTTCATTGGACCAATGAACTACCAAGGTCTGCTCCAAGACAGCAGATGAAGTAACCATCGTTCTAAAACAGAGTGGGTTACCCAGTATCCATGACCGGCCGAGGTTGTCATGGACAGAGAACGTGAGTCCCGCGCAGAGGTCGAGAAGACTCTCCGGGATGAACATGGACTTCGTCGCAAGTTCACGCGCGTCAATCGTGACAAGATTCACAACATCCGTTTCGAAGCAAACTGGAAATACATCAAGGAACATCGCCAACGACTTATCCAGAAAAACGACGATAGGGAGAAGCGACAGTGTCCCATCAACACAATGTCAACGATACTATGATGATTCATCAGTATCAGAACCGCTAGTACGGTCAGCCAAAGCACAAAGGTCCTTACCACACAGACCGAGTCAATAACATGGCACTGTACGGCTCAACATGCTACCGCCAGTAGCGGCCAAGTCTACCAGACTTGGAACAAAGGTATTATACACCCATACAAGGCCTGATCCCCTTGTAGGATTGCCATCGTGCGACGACATGTCTACATCCAATCTCCGGAGAGTGCCCGCACTTTAATTCATAGTTCTCTGTCCGACTGATGTCGTGCCTTCCATGACCCTTGTCAGGGGGCGAATGCATTACACGGCTCTTAGCCTTATTCGCGACTCGATCCTAGATAGGGTTTGAGTTCGTCAATGACTGAGTCTTTCGTGAATAGTCATTGAGACAGGGTTCTCATGACCGCTAGTCATACTAGTCGATGGTGAAACATCGCGCTAGAAATTTAGCGGCGTGGAGAATTCCACGCTACTAGATAAATGTAGACAAATCTTCCACGCTTCCGTTTTTGGATCGGTGGAGTGAGTAGGATTGCTACCAACCTACTCTATCACACTCTACAGTCTCCCGCGGAGTTCAATCTACGATCCTTTGATGTGGATTCTCTCTCGTTGATTAGTTTTCATAGCTTTCTAATCCTCTCATAACTTTCATTCTCTCAACTCAAAACACTCGAAAGATCTTTACATAGCTTTTAGCGTATGAAGGTGTACGAGTGGCTTGGATCGATCGAACGATCCGAGTGATGTCAGTTGAGATTAAGGTTAAGGCTATATATGTCCCGTAAGAAGGTAAACCATTCCGAGTGGACGGCACCAACATTATCATTCCCAAAAAGAATGGATCTAAACGGTTCATCTCTGACGTCCGGGAACTGAACAAAAGGATTGAGCAAAAACCTTGTCCGATCCCAAGGATACAAGACATGCTACTGAATCTAGACGGATTCAGGAAATACGAATACCAACGAGTACCGATGGGCCTATGCAATAGTCCCTACATCTTCCAAAGGAAGATGGGAAAACTCATGCACGACTTGGAAAATGTCCTGCATACATGATGATCAACTCATCTAACTAAGGCGATCTAGGGATCACGTTGAATAGTTAGATGAAGTTCTCCGAAAGGCTTCGAGAAGCCGGACTTAAGATCAATGCTACCAAGTCCTTCTTCGAAAGAGAGAACTTGAGTATAGGCTACTGGATTACTTGAGAAGGAATCCAACCCGTAACCAAGAAAATAGATGCGATCCAGAACATCCCTCCTCCTACGAACAGGAAGAAACTTGGTAGATTCATTGAACTAGTGAACTACTGTCGAGACATATGGATCGGACGATCACATGTACATACAACGTCGGGGATCCCAAGAAAAGGAATCCCTGTCCATTTCATTGCTTGACAATGATTGATCCCGTAACCGAATGGTTCGAGATTGCCGAGATCTGCTCCAATGCAGCAGACGAAGTAGCCATCGTTCTAGAACGACGTGGCTCACCGGTCTCCATGGCCTGCTGAGGTTATCATGGATAGAGACGTGAGTTCCGCGCAAAAGTCGAGAAGACTCTCCGGGATGAATGGACTTCGTCGCAAGTTCATTACCAACGTGTTCAATCGTGACGCGATTCACAACGTCCGTTTCGAAGAACTGGAAACACATCAAAGAAGTCGCCAACGACTCATCCAGAAACACACTGATAAGGAAAACGCGCGCGTGTCCCTCATCAATACAATGTCAACGATACTGTGAGGTTTCAACAGTATCAGCACCGCAAGTACGGTCACCAAAGTCAAAGGTCCTTACAATATGGACCGAGTCAATAACAATGGCACTGTACGGCTCCGACATGCTACGCCAATGGCGGCACAGTCTACCAGACTTGGAATATAAGGTATTTACACCCATACAAGGCCTGATCCCCTTGTAGGATTGCCATCTGTGCGACGCACATGTCTACATCCAATCTCCGGAGAGTGCCCCGCACTTTAATTAATATGTTCTCCTTGTCCACTGATGTCGTCCTTCTGTGACCCTTGTCAGGGGCGAATGCAATACACGGCTCTTAGCCTTATTCGCGACTCGATCCTAGATAGGGTTTGAGTTCGACTCATGACGTAGTCCTTCGCGAATAGTCATTGAGACAGGGTTCTCATGACTGCTAGTCATACTAGGTTGTCGATGAAACATCGCTCTAGATATTTAGCCGGCGTGGAAAGCTTCCACGCTACTAGACAGCTACTAGCTTAGCTGAAGTTTCCACGTGTTCCGGAAATGGACCGTGGAGTACGTAGAGTTATTGCCATAACCTAGGGTATCACACTTCGAGGCCTCCCGCGGGAGACCAACTTCAATGAGCTTCACAACGATCTCTTTCATGGATTAGTTTTCGTAGCTTTCTAATCTCTCTCATAACTTTCATTCTCTCAAACACAAAACACTCGAAAGATCTTTACACTAGCTTTTAGCGTAGTGCACTCACAGGCAGTACTACTAGCTAGCTAGCTACTAGCTAGTCTAACTAGTAGACTGCCAAGATAATGGGATTGAGAGCTCGGGCAGGAAGACTCCCGAGGTACTAGTATAGCATATATGCCTACCGTACGGTACCTACGTATCTAGCGGGATAACCGGAACCATGCGCTGTCCTACTGTAGTACTAGCTAGCTAGCAGAGAGTTTCCGACCCATGCTTGGTCTCTTCGGAGAGCGCTTGGTTCCGACTCGACTGAGGTTCCATGTATCCATGTAACTGCTCCACTCCCATGCGTTCATTGGCAGACTCCAAGAGAGGTCGAGGCAACATCCAATTCCAGTAATTAATATACTATACATTCATCAATAATGATTCATAAAGCTACCTATTGATCCAACACTAACAATCGACACGATCTCTTCGCGACGACAGTGCCGCCCGACTGTCGCTTTGTCACCCCCGAAAGTCTGTTGTTGATGGGTCGACACCACGCAACGACTCAACTCAAACAGAGTTGTAGAGCCAACTCTTTCACTTGGCAGAATCCTGGGCTCCCTTCTTGGCCTTACTCAAGCCGGTGCGTCTCATTCTTCGGCAAAGCTCGGGCGAATCGCGTCGAAAGCAAGGATGGGAGTAGTATCCATGCCCGGTTCCACCTCTTGTGACTTGATGGGAAGGAGCACAAAGTTGGAAGCCATACAATCCGAGCTGTCGCTTGAAGGAGGACAAACGAGATTGTTTGAAATAGCGGGGAACAATTTCTGCAAAGAACCGATCGGACTGATGAATCTCAAAGGCCTCTCCATTGTTGACCCATGAGATGATATGGGATTGACCCTGTGCTTCGACCTCCTGTAAGAGTCGATGTAGACGTTCCGGAAATGGTTCGATCTTGGAAAAGTTTCCCAGACCGGCAAAGGGATTATCCTTGGGAGCAGCAACTGCGGTATTCCACTTGCCGTTCTGTCCCATGGGCATGGCGTGTGCAGGCATTGCCATTGGTGCCCCGGGAAGAAAATGTTGTTGATGTTGCTGTTGATGTTGCTGCTGGAACTGTAGGTTCAACAGCAGCCTTGTTTCGTCGGAAGAGGGCCATCCCATGGCTTGAGCCTGAGACGCAAGGAACACGGCTGGTTGAGGGCCGGGGGCTGCAGCAGTACCGGTACCGGTACTCGCGGTAGCAGGGACAGGAGGCGCGGGCATCAGTGGAACCGGAACTCCCACGGCACGAACCCCACCACCACCCATCATCACTCGGCCTTGGAGGAAGTACGGATGCATGACGGTTGGCTGTGGAAAACGGCCCGCAACAGCGTTGTTGACAGCATACTCTTCCTTCTGGCAACTAGCACTAGCACTAGCATTTCCATGGCCTGTCGTACCAGTACTGGCCAATCTGTCATCAGACTCATCCGTCTTCTGAGAGGATCCTGCATGTACAGAACCCTGCTTCAATTCCGCGGACGGTTCGGAAAAAGCAGACACCACATCTGACCCGAAGAAAACATTACATGTATCACCGGCACCTACCACAACTCCGCCAGCTGTGGGTGCACCGCCGGTGGTACATGTACATGTAGTTGTTGTCGCTGCTACCGGTACCGGTACGAGGGTGGTGTGATGGGACATGGCCTGTTGCACCTTGTGAGATCCGTAACGGTACTGTGGTACCAAACCAAAAACAAATGTTCAAATGCTTGTCGCCGTTCAGTAAAAGACACGAAGAACAGGTGGTGTCAACACAGAACGATGGTCTGGAACGGCTTTGAAATTCAACCCCAAAACGAGAAGCCCCTGCTGACACCAAAACTAATATTGGTTAAATCTTCACGGTTTTAAAAGCTTTATGTGGAATACTCTCTTCAATGCTAAGGTTAAGAATAGGTGTTTTGATTAGGGATATGGGTCATTGTTCCTGCGCTCGTGACAACAAAGCATTTACTCCGCCCAAAGTCGGTTTTGTTGACTTTTCGGTTCTCCCAACTGGATCAGGTTCTTTTCTGCTTCTTTTTCCAGGATTTGGAAATATGGGATTGAAACAGCTAAGATGCCTCATTGGGAAGTTCAACATTCCATCAAGATAGATCTGCCCACCGCTTAGTAGACTACTTTGCTGTACAGAGCTCCACAGACAGCAGCAAACAGCTTCACCAAAGGCAATGGTCCGGTTTTCGCATTGCCCATTTTCATCTCTGAAGCATCTGCTTTTGGTCATAATTAAACCATCAAGAGTCTTCTTTTTTAAAACATTCCAGGCAATTATTCTTCATCCAGTAAATATTTTGCTTCACAGAATGTGTAGAATTGTGGTAGAGAAAATAGGTAGAAAGTGGAGTTTAAGGATTCGTTCGTAGAACTCTTTTCACTGAAATCTAGTAGCTAATCTAGCAAATATTCATGCGATAAACCATACACCTCCATCTAACCCAATGGCAGAGGCTTGCTACGTACCAATACAGGAATAACATACCATAGCGTTACTGTACTCGTAGATTGCTCAATGCATTGAGCACGGTATATCGTAACCCTTGTTATTGAAAAGAAGTTGGACAGATTGCACAAGTTGAAGTAAACTGCTTGGGCAATACCTTGGTTCTGCGCTTCTAAGAAGCAATGGCCATCTTCTCAGCGTTGGCAGCTTGGCAGGTGGCTGTGGGTTCAAAATAAATGATGTATCGACTGTACGGTACCGCACTGATGAGAGTGACAGAGTGAAGCTCAGCTCGACGAATTGGTACTGTATTTTGCTCTTGCTTGCACGAAGATCAACACTGGTGGACGGACCCGGTACAACAACATACACAGAGCAGAGCACCATCTCACTCACACCATCTGATCCGGCTACTACTAGTACGAGTACAGTGTACGTATCAATCTCTTTGGCCTATCCTTGTTGAAGGCGGTCCATCAACAGCTGTTGATAGGAAGGCTTCGCTTGGAATTGTGACGTACAGCGACAGTAAAGCAGAGCTGTGGTTGGAATTGGAGGGTGGGTGAATCAACCGTTCGCTCATAAATTCGCAGGTAGAGCACCCCATCAACATCCAACATGTCTTACCAGTACTCTTTGAATCAAGGCCAAGGGTTCGGCGCTGCCAACGGTCGAGGCAACCATCAGGGAGGTGGTAGTGGCAATAGTATGAACATGAACGACAATGGCGGTGGAAAGAGTCAGAATCCTTCGTCCATCGATGCCATGTTCCAAGGCATCTTGCCTTCCACTGGTGCCGGTGCAGTTGCAGCATCCCCGGCCAATGCTCGCCAATTGAGTGGTCTCAACCACATGAATCTGAGCACCATGACGGCTGCTGGAATCAGTGTGCATCAAGCGCAGCTTCCCTCGACCAGACTGCAATCAAGCGGTCTGGGCGTCAATGTCGGACATGTCAATGCCGCTCAAGACTTTTCTTCTGCTTCCCTCAACATCAGTGATGAAATCAAGCGTTTGCAGCAATTGCACCAGCTGACGCAAGGACAAGGCACAGCTCCTTCGGCCACTGCCAACACCAACCAGTTCATGCAGGGATTGCTGGCTGGAAGAACTGGAGCAGCGGCTGCCATGAACCAGTTGGGCGTCAAGAATACGACTTCAGCGGGGACTCACTCACACCCCATGTTTCAGTCAGCGTTGCAGCAGTCCTCCACTACGAATGCCAGCGGTTCTTTGGGGGGCTTGTCTCAACGAGAAGCTGCTTTGTTGCTCATGTCTCAGCAGCAGCAACAACAACAGCAGCAGCAGCAGCAACAGGCGGCGTTACAGCAGCAACAACAGCAGCAGCAGCAACAAGTGGCTCTGCAGCAGCATCTTCAACAGCAGCTTGCTTCAGGTCTCATCTCTCCCGCCGCAGCTGCCCAGTTGATGGCAGCTTCCGCGGGTCAAATGCTCCCTTCACCCAGCATGCTCTCCGCAAGAGCTGCTTTGAGTCAGCAAAGACCAGGGCCTGGAGCCATTGAACCGTTCCCTGAAAAGTTACACAGAATGCTCATGGAAGTGGAAGCAAGTTCGAAAGGACACATCATCTCCTTTGTGGACGAAGGAAGAGCCTTTGCCATTCACAAACCCAATCAGTTCTTCAAGGTGTGTTTTATGTTTGATTCGCCCAGTTTTCTTTGATGAAAGTCCTTTCCGTGCCGCCCACTGACCTGTTCTTGCTATGTGTCTCTCTTTCTTCTTCTCTTGCAACAGGAAATTGTCCCCTTATACTTTCGGCAATCACGGTTGTCTTCCTTCAAGCGACAGCTCAATCTCTATGGATTTGAACTCATCTCCAACGGACCCTCCAGAGGTGCCTATTTTCATGAACTATTCCAACGAGACAAACCCAATCTTTGTCGAAGAATGAGGCGGGTAGCTGTCAAGGTTGCTGCAGCTGCCAAAAAGACCGATACCAGTGATCAAGAACCAAAGCAGGAGGAGGGCTCTGCGGGTGGGGAAGAGTAGTTCTTTCTTGTGTGGCGCTACATGTAGTGCTACAAGAAGGAAACCTAGGCTAATGCTAGCTAGTTGGAAGACTCCGGAGCTCCTACTTCAGGAAGTGCAGGTCTGGATGTATAGTATATGTAGTTTTATCCTATCTAAAAAACAATCAAAGTAAACAACATTTTCATCCCTCTAATAACATGCATACCAGTTGGTACCTAGATAGCTTGAGCCAGCCACCGGAACAAATAGATATCATGGTTGCGCAGCAAGTTCCTGTGCTGGGCAAAGGGCGCCTCCTTCCACCTGGAGACCAACTACTACCGTACTACGGTAGAGTAGTACCATCAATCCAATGCCGACAAACTAACTAGACTATCATAGCTCAAACTTCGGGATATGCCCCTACCTGTCCCCGCGACCGAATTCTGAATTCGTTGGCAACAAAATTAATCGTCACCCTTTCTAAAGAAGCACGACAGTAGTCGTCGCTCCTTTAAATTAACTACCACTGAGCACTGAGCCACTGAGAAAATAGCTAGAATCTAGAACCGCGAATTCGAGTATTGCAAATACTGCAAACTGCAAATGCGGGGCAAGGCAAAAAGAAGCATTTGCTTGTTGTGCGAACCAATCAGGCTCAGCAGAACGAGAATTCTGCAAATTCTGCGCTTCTGACCTCTCTACTTTGAGGAGATGTTGTTGTTGAGTCTCCTGTCCATCTCCATTCTTCAATGCGACCGCTGTGCTAATAAGCTGCTCGGTGAGCCGCCACTCCAATTCCACCACAGCTCGAGCGGACAGCTAATCAAAACCTAAGGAAAGAAAACAGACTCTAAAACTAAACTGCCCGGCTTCGGTGCCTCGTTTTTCCCTCAGTACCGAATGCAAAGTTTGTGGGCAATAGAGCTGCAATAGAACCACCCATCAAACCACAAAGGACAGTTGCCACAGCTGGGCACGTTCCAAAGCTTACCAAGCTTCAACAACAACAGCTCAACGCTTCTTTTCTTGAAGCCATTCTGTTCCTTATTACTAGTACCAAAATGTACATGATTCTCTCGTAGAGCTAGTCATTATAGGATTTAGAATGTTCTTGCTCACGCGAATCTGTTACCAAGGGAACTTGAAGTGTCCTAAGTCAAATAAGGCGAGGGATAGCTGTGGGAATGCTTTGGGGTTCAGGCTTTCCTTTCAATCCATGGTTTAATTTTGTATCTTTTCAAGCAGAAACAATCACTTTCAACCAAGAAAAGCTGCCTCGGCGGGCTTCGTCGCAAGCCGCGAGAAACCACTATGCATACGGTACTACCGGTAGTACCGGTAACATGGTACTAGCAAGACTAGTAGTACTACTAGCTAGATAGTTCCTAGTAGCTAACAAAAAATACGCTAGCTTGGCTAGACCAACTAACTACCTGGCTGAAGAGCTAGCAACTAATCCTAGTCATAATATGTAATTGTTTAAATTATTCAGTACCTTTTCCATGCCATTTGCCAAGGAGCACTCGACTCACTCATCCTCGCGCCATTTGCCATCTCAAGACAAGACAGCAACAAAAGAAGAAGAGTCTCCCTACTTTTTGGGCGACCCTGTGTTGGCAGTAGAGCCCTTTTTCCGCAGCATGCGATTGAAGATCGGGATGCTCTTGACTCCTTTTTCCTTTTGCTTTGGAGAAGACGACCGAACTCTGGAATCCGGCTTGCGATCTGCGTACAAGTTTCGCTGGAACACAGGATCGTTTGCAGAAGACAGATTCATTTTCTTGGATACTGGGATAATAGACGGGGTGGAGATCTTGCGAGCTCCATCGAGTCTGCTGAGGTTACTTCTCTTATCACCCGTTTCGCTTGCGTCTTGGGGCTGCTGGGGCATGCCGGTGGGATACACGGCTCCTGCTGGTGGACTCGAGAAGCGTGAGAAGGGTGAGCGCATTGGTTGATTCTCAGCGGTGGGTTCATTGAAGAGTTGTTCTTTGGCCATCTTGAGGCTTGGTCTTCCGGTCACCTCCCGGGCTCCGGGTGATGCCGGGTCCTCCGTGTGGTGTGTCGGCTCGGCGCTGCGTACCGGACGAGGCATGGGATTTTTCACAGGTGGTCCCTCGTACTTGAGGACGTCCTTGGCCGCTTTGAGGAGAGCCGGATGCTTACCCGACACGGCGAGAGCTCCCACGACGGAAGAGGACGACGTGCGCCTTTTTGTCTCTGCCACTGGCTTTTCGTCTTCGTCGTCGCTGTCCGAGTCTTGAAGTTCCTGAACGTCGTCGGTTCCATATGACTGGAGAGATGGGATCGATGAGTTGAGAGCCGCCCGCCTGCGGCATTTATCAGGTGTCTCGATCTCGATATTGGACCCCAAGGAATGGTTGCTTCCACCCAGCAAGTTGTAGCTGGACGCTGCGGAATGGTTGCTTGCACCCGAGATCAAACTTGCACGGTTGTCGGTGTCTTCCAAGACAAAGGACCTTACGGAAACCCCCTCGACGGCCGCCTTGAGTGCATTGAAGTCGGCGAGAGCACCTCCTGCTCCCCGAGCGGTATTGCGAGAAGGATGGCTTGAGTTGCTGTGGGCCGTACTCTTGTGGACTGTTCCTCGAATGTAGCTGGATCGGGCAGAATCGCCTCTCAAGCTCGCGTGTGATTGTTCCGGAGCAGGAATAGCTTCATTCCGGTGGCTACTGGATGTACTAAGACGGTGCCCCGTGCTGTTGGCGCTTGTATCCATGCGGGCCGAATGGTAACTGGAGCCGTCCATCAATCGAGTGGAATGGTAGCTACTGCTGCTATTGTCCATGACCTGTCGGTTGGACTGGCTGATGCTGCTGTCCATGACACGACGATCGGAATGTGAATGGTAGCTGCTACTGTCGAGCCAGTTTTGACTTTGACTGAATTGTCCGACACTGCTCAATTGGCTGTAACTGGTCGCGGCAGTGCTGAGTGTCGAATTGGAAGCGTCGGTGGGTTTCTTTCCGACGTATCCATTCATACTGACTCGCGAGGCTGGCAGTTCACTAATTGGGAGAGTGTCCTCTAGGTCCATCCAAGCAAAGGAGCTCTCTAGATCTTCTTGGCTTTGCTCTTCTACCTCTTCGTTTTCTTCTCGAATCTTGTTGAAGATGCCTTGCTGCAAAGCCATGATCTCCTTGATGCGTTCTTGCTTGATTCGGTCTTCTTCTTCTTGGATGGCCATTTCGCGTCGTTCTTCCAACGACAAGGGCGACTCCTCCTCAACAGGAGCACTCGTCGTCGTCGTTACAACGGTACCTCCTGGATGCGGAGGACCTTCGTGAGCTGGTCTGGCTTGACCGCACATTTCACAGCTCAAAAAGAGCGGTTGGTTGAGAAAGGTGCAGGACTGACACTCCCATTCGAGTTTGTCGCCCAGAGACCAACGTCCGAAACTCATTCGAATCTCTCGCTCTGTGCGACTACTAGCACCACGCGATAAGCTGTGGGCGCTCCCTCGAGGCATCTTGTTGGCCGCTGCCATGAAAGCGGCTTCCGCTGCGTCGTCTACTAAAGACATGGAAAAGTTGGTTGTGTCGGCTTCGTGAGTCATCTTGTTGGCTCTGTCTTGTTGCTTTCGTGGCTGTTATGTTGTGTTGTGTTGTTGCAGTACAGTGGATTGAAGCACTGGTACTGTACTGTATCGGTAGTGGATACTACTGCACCACCAGGTAATGGGGTTCCTTTTGTGGTGTGCGTGCCGGTTCCTTTTTCGAGTTTTCACGAGAGGTGACCAAAGCCGAATCGATCACCGAGACTTCATTCACAAGAACTACAGTTGTGGCTGTTGTTGCCTTGCTTCTTGTACAGTTGTTGTCTTGCTTGTTGCGTAATGGTAACAGTGACTACTCTACTAGCTAGTACTAGTATGTGTATGTCCCTTGACTGTGCTTATTCTTAGCCTCGATTGCTTTCTTGCTGTTGTTGTTGCCTTGTATGGTGACGACCCAGCTTCACCGATGGCAAAGCAACAGACAAGGCAAGGACAACGAGGCAAACGGGCTGCTGCTGCATGCTTCATGGACAGTGGTGTCTCGAGCAGGCCAAACCACTATGCGCGACTTGTACTGCGTGGCCAGGTAACGTCGAAACACGTAGGATGCTGGTAGACGCTGGTGGACCAGTGTATTAAAAGTGCCCATCAAACCTGGTTTTTAGATGCTGCCTGTTCTTAGTTTCGGAAAATTCCTTGTCTTCTCCATAAATCTTAGCGTTTAGGAACGATTCCTTGTCTCCGAAATTAGGAGGCTATTTTGGAGCGTCTCTTTTGGAGATGAGCCCTTAAAGAATGAACCGACTCAGTATCTAAATACTCGATTATTGAAATTACAACAACCAAAGACTGGTGAGTGAATAGCTAACTCTCATCCTTCTCCTGAATGTAAGAACCTTTGGTAGTAAACAGATACAGTTTGACATGCAATGATGTAAGATTGAAACCATGTCAAACAATGCACCGTTGCTACCTTGTTACTTGTGACTATCTTACTTTTAGTTTCATATCGATGTAAAATGTAACCACTCTTTGATAAAACGGGGTCTAAATCGTTTTTTGGCTAGGTATTGCCAGGCAGTTAAAAGGGAGAGCTCAATGGTTGGACAAAAGATAATAGCGCCAAGAGTGAAAAGCGAATAGCTGCTTAAAGCTTGTGCACCTACTGGTATGCAGGCAGGATGTCATCCCAGAGTGGTACAACAGCTACAACAGCTGGTAAACGCCACAACGTACCACCAAAATTAGTTTTGCGGCATCTCATTATCCCAGACAGAGATGCTTCCCACTCGAGTACGAACAGACAGCAAAACATCAACCAACAAAATTTAATCAAACCCGATCCACTGGAAGCATCTATCTTTTGGATCCTACTGTTCTTGCAATCAAAGAAGAAAAGATCCGAGGATCTTTCGTCCAGCAGACCATCTCACATTTTGGCAATCAAATAATATGATGTATATGTCTTTGCGGTTGTGGTGGATACTACTAGCTATGACATAGTAGTACAATATGAGAGTGCTGCTGTTGACGATTGGCAGCCGTGGTGATGTGGAGCCATTTTGTGCCATTGCCAAGGAATTATTGCAGCAAGGCCATCAAGTTGATTTCTTCGTGGAGCCCAACTGGAAATTCCTGATCGAACCTCTGACTGTCACTCAAGAATTTGGGAATGTTGTTTCTGTTTCCGTGCATGAACTCCCCTTTTCCAATGCCAGCTTTTCCCCAAATGGCGCCTCTTTGCAGTCCCTGGTCGACATTCAAGCCAATTACATTTTGCCGTGCTTCCAAAGAGTCTGTCAAGTGGCCAAAGGCTGTCAGTGCCTGGTGGCCAACAGCATTGCTTCTTACTTGATGGTGCTAGTGGCAATCGCTGAGAATCTTCCCACCATTCTGATACATTTGCAACCCTTGCTGCCAAACCAAGTATTCCCGTCCTATCGGATCTCTCCTCCCAACTTTTGTCGAGCCATCCAACAGTATCACTCGAGTCTAAAAGAGGGCGCTCCCATTCCGTATCAACCAGACTATCTCTTTGAAATCAACCAGAACTTGTACTGCGCTCTCTTACAAAATGGTCTCTTGGAAAAGTCATGTGGCATCCAACCACCAATGATGTCGTGGGAACAAATGCTCCCAATCCTCTCTGGTTGCCATCCACAGTTCACTATTGTCAATGCTTACTCCAATCATCTCATTCCCATCATGGAGGGAACACCTGCCGTTGGACCCTACGTCAAAGATGTTGGACCTCTGGCAGATGGATACATTTCATCCAACCAAGATGGACTGCCAGATTCGGTACAGTCCTTCTTGATGCGTAATGACAACACGAAACCCATTGCCATTGGTTTTGGATCCATGCCTGTCCAACAACAACAACTGGATGCTGTTTGGCAAGCCCTGCAAACCCTGCCTGATAGTCAAAGAGTCATTTTGATTGGAAAGGCACTCACGCCACCAACACCCACACACAATAATCCACAACAATGGCTACACGTCACTGCCATTCCATACCCTCTTCTTTTGCCACACTGCTCCATGATGATCTGCCATGGGGGAGCGGGGGTATTGCAAGCGTGTCTTCGAGCAGGAATCCCCAGTTTGGTCTGTCCTGTCATGGGGGATCAGTTTGCCTTGGCGGCGGTCGTACACACACTCCAGTATGGACAAAAAGCGTGTCGTAGGTTTGCCGAACTCGAAGCAAAGGATCTCATTCGTGGCATTCGATACCTTCTACAATCGACCCAGATTTCCGAAAATTGCCAGCAAGTGGCAAAACGAATACTAGTAGAGCAACAAGAACAACAAGAGGTGCCAACAGGGCCTCGGAAACTGCTCTGCATTATGAAACTGGCGGTAGAGGCGCATCACAGTGGTGAATGAAGTCAATGAATGAACATCCCACGTACTGCCGGCCGGGACAATTCCTAGCTAGCTAGCTAGTACAGTACTGGTACGGTACGGTACGGTACGGTACGGTACCCAGCAGGGGCTACAAACGATGCAGCTGTGCCTCTTGCAGGCCAGCCTTCAAAACGACGATGTGGTTGAGGCCACATCGCCCTTGAGAGCGTACATGGACTATTATGTTGTGTTATATGCAGCACTGAGTACCTTTAGAACAGCACATGTACCGGTACAAACTGTGGCTACCGGTACCGGCACTGGTGCCACTGTGGAATTAATACGGTAGATGGCTGCTCCTCGAGAAGTACAGTCGTACAGCGTACCTATTTTAATTAATACGTCCAAGCGACAATTTAATTAGTAGGTGGTACTGTAGCACCTCATTCTTGCGAGAGGAGGCACGGAATTATGGATTGGTCATTAAGTGTTCAGTATCACGGAAACCGTACAGTAAGTATTTTTCTAAAAGACCACATTACTTAAATACCCTTAGCCTCACTGCGACATCTGGATGGTGACGGTGGTACTTTATTTGTGCGGAATTGCCAGTTTTTAGTTATCAGAGGAGTACTGAGTATGAAAACTGTACTCTAGGCTTTCCGAAGTTTGTGACTGCTGCATCTGCAGTAAGATCTAAGATCAAAGGCGGAAGTATTACAGTAATAGTACGATGTACCGTAGCGAACAATCTCCACCCCCACATGCCCGGTCTTACCTAAACCATACCCCAAGTTGGTACTAAGTACTTCTAAGTAATTTCACTGGGACTTGTGACAGTTACATCAATTAGACAACCCGTAATCCAATTGAACTTGGTACCATGGACCAAGAAGAGTCATTCTCGTGGATTTAGGGGTGATACTCTTTTCCTCTTGTAGCCACTTAACATCTCCTGCCCTCATGGTGGTGACCAAGCAACTTGGTACAAGGACCAAGTTTGCTTTGTCCACTGCCCAAGCCAAAATCTCCCAAGGACAAAGCTACTTGGCATCTTTCTGCTAATAGTTACAAATAGTTACTTAGCTTAAGTACTCAAATGTACCTAGTTTATTTACAGAGCAATATTTAAGAGCTCGACATATCATAAGTATGAAATTTGACCCTTATGTAATTTTACCTTTGAACTTGGTACCTCCCCTAGTGCTAAGTTTGACAAAATCTTAGTACCACCTCTTGGTACCCTTCGTACCATCAAATTTAACTGTTTTTAGTAAGTTGGTTGAAACTTGGTACCCTTGGTACAATGTCCATTGACAGTCTTTTCATTGTACATGGTCATTCCTTAAATACTATCATGTTGCCGAGTTCTTGGCAACACATTTTACATAATACTAAACTATTGTATACTACGTTGTCATCCAAATTCTCACTCAACAGCAACAAGAACAAGAACAACAGAATAACAACAACCAACAACCAACAACAACAACTAGAAGAAGAAGAAGAAGAAGAACAATAATAACAACAACACCAATCACCAATCACCAACAAGAAGCACAAGCAGTGCCTCAACAGGAAGAACAAAAACAGCAGGAACAACCAGAAGTCAAGTTGATTAGAAGAAACAAGCAGAGAGAAAGCTGGCAATAGGCAACTCCCAATCCAAAGAGCATCTTGAAATAGCCAAGACAAGATCTGCAAGGCTCTTGCTATAGCAACATGTCTTCTCTCGAAAGTGAGCAGTTTTCCAGTCTTGATGGATTCCATACCATGGCTGCATATGTCCATCAGCTTGCTCTTGATCATGGGTATCAGCATGCATCATGTCAAAATGTAATATCTGATTTCATTAACCAGAGAACACATTTTTTGATGCTGTTGCTGGTAGGAGAGAAAGATTCTATGCATATGTTCGTGATTGATATTCAACATCAATCCCAGCAATGGAAATTCCAATATCTCCACTGCTTCAGCACAGCAAATGATTCCCAACAACAACAATTTGGATACAGCAACTCAATGATGCATGTTCTGAATCAATCCACTGCTGCTTTCCACCCCAACAGCAATATGTATTACCACCAAAATATCAACCCATTTGGAAGCTACCCGCCAACTTGCCACAGCACACAACAATTTATGCACCATTTGGGCTGCCACAGCAAGCATGTATTATCAGCCACCATTTATATTCAATAATCCACAACAGAGTTTCCATTGTATCCCCCTCATCAGCAAGCCATGCATGGCAACATTCACATACCTGGGTCCTCCGCAGGTTTGATGGGTGAGTGAATGTCTTCAATCATTCTTTGCAACAACCACAACAGGCAATGCAATGGCAATCTGGTGCACACCAACAGCCGATTCCACAGCGACAGCCTCAGGCATCACAAACACAGCAACAGCATGTACAACAGGCAATGCAATGGCAACCTGGTGCACACCAACAACTGATTCCACCACAGCACAGCCTCAGGCATCACAAGCACAGCAACAGCATGCACAGGAGCAGCAACAACAAATTGCTACAAGGACAGCAGCCACACAGCAGCAAACAGAGCCAAGCCCTGCCGCAGCGGCAAACAACAACAGCAACATCTGCATCAGCCACAGCAGCAGCAGCCACACCCGCCGCCTCAGCAGCAGCAGCCACCACCAAATCAACAAGAGAGATACTCACAAGGACAGCAACAACAGTCAGAGCAATCCAGCAGCACAGCAGCAGCAGCAGCAGCAAACAAACAGGCCTCATGTGCACCAGAGTCACAACAGCAGCAGCACAGCAGCAAAGTAAACGGTGAACAGGTTCCCACAGCACGCAATAGTATGCAAAGCAATTCAAGAACAAACTTTGCCAACAACAATACTGCATCTAGAGGGATAGTCATCAATTCTCCACATCGATGCATCTGCTAATCGTCATACCAGAAGTGATCAATCGTCATCAAATAGCTTCCCAGTCGAAGAAGTGCGTGGCCAACAGAATTCTTCTGTATCTGTGATGACAAATAACAGTGCAAACATCAGCCGAACTACACCATACAATGAAGAGATTACCTTCTATTGCATCAATCATCAATCAGACTTCAAGCAAGCTCTGCATTCATTCAACAAGAGATGGACATGTCCTCACGGTGGAGTGCTAACATTCCACAAGAGTGCCAAAGCCAGGTATGTCGGTGCAGTGGAGTCCATTCACCGTCATCAAAGTTGCCGAAGGCCAAGTGTCTACTTCCTCAATCCTTCATTGTTTTCACATCATATTGTCCAAGGTTATTGTCCTGGAAGGGAGCAAGAATGGATTATCCATCTTTCAAGGGGGAAAAGGTTGATGAAAAAGTTTCTAATGAACTGGTCACTCATTGGAAAGGACGAATTACAACAGAACACCCCTCTAACCAGCAGTGGAGGAAATGTCAATCCATTTGATCGAAACCAGTTCCATTTCCTGCTGGTACCAGACCCAAAAGGACTTATGTATGCAGTCAACCTGCACGACAAGATCATCATCCATATTTACGACAGAAGCTTGTCTGCTGGCACTGTCCAAGATCAAAAGTTCTTCTATTTTATTCTCAATCATTATTTGACTATGACAGAGTCAGGCGTCATTGGTGGTGAAGGATTATATACTTCCCATGAAGCAGATATGAAGCTACCAACTGAGATAGTCACCTCTATTCAGCAGAATACAACAAACATCTGCAGGTGCCTGTCCTTGTGCATTTCATATTGTTTCATTCAATTCGGTACGGAACCAATAGGTCTGGTCCAGCTGCAATCAAGAATCAGAGAGTGTCTGCTAAGTGCGATCAACAACTACACTTCTGTCCAAAAGTATCTGCTTGCTGCTCTTGTCCATAATCACCCATTTCCCTCAAGTGTTTCGAGAACTCCACAACCAAATTCCCAAGTCAATGAGAGTATCTTCAATACTGAAGCATTTGGAGTCGCCCATCGGAACATGGATGAATTTTTTCAGGAGTTGGACATGGAGACTTGCTGTGTGTGTTTGGAAAACAAATCCAACGTCAAGAGCGACCATCCCAATTGCAACCACAGAATGTGCGAAGAATGTACCCGAAAACTGTTGGTGACGTATCACTTTGCCGATCAATTGGTGGGTCATCTCCTTTTTAGAGCTGGTAGGTGCCCAGCTTGCCGCTTGGTCGGAAGCCACTTCACCAATGTCACCACTGGTGAAGAGATACTTGGGAAACCACGGGGGGCCAATCAGCCAAAGGAGCATTTCTGGGGATTCCATGTTCTACGGGATGCCCGTGGCACTGAAATATTTAGCAATCCTATCACTGAGAAGAGCCTATGGATGTCCCTTTGTGATCACTTTGGCTATCTGGATACAAGACCAGTTGCCCGGAATGCTTATCGAAATCAAGGTTTTGCACTGACTGAGAGAGATGGGTTTACTTCTTCACCCGAAGATTATTTCGGTGTGAGCGATGCCTATCTAACACAGTGTGAGACAAGGACTATCCATCCATGTACAATCTGTGGGAAAGTGTTGACAATTTCGAGCTCAAGAAGAAGCAGGGGATGCCAGTGGGAATGTGATACTGATTACTGTTCGGACTGCTCTCTGCTCTGTGTTCGCGATGTTAATGGAAGATTCGGTTGCCCTAATAGCGAGTGCCAAAATTGGAGTACAAAGTTTGTTCGAACCATTGATGGATTTGTTGTCTCTAAAGAATGGTATACTACGGAGTGGCACAGACGTGAACCCCTCTTCGCTGCACTTCCAGAGTCTGCACAGTCGCGCGTCCTCTTATGTCGAGAGAGAAGAAGAAGAAACACGAGGATACAGATGTTGTTCCGTATAGAACTTAATGTAGCGAGAGGAAATAATTTTGCCTGAGAATACCTCTTCGCACTCAGCTTATAACATTGGCCAACATGCTCAACCCTCGTCAGACATGTTGTTTCGCCTGCGAGATCTTTGATTCCTGTCATCAGTTTGTTTTGCGTCTCTCTTCTTTCCTGCTGCCGTTTCTAGGTCTTTTTCGTGGTGGTTGCTTGAATCCTTTTCTACTGCTGCAGAACACTGACTCGCATATGATTCCATTGTTTTCATAAGATCATTCAAAATGACCTTGTCTTGTGGGGGACAGATACCCCTGCTCGTTTCTTGCATTATTGCCAAAGACTTCCTCATCAGATGGATGGAATTTCCCAGAACAGATGAGTTCTCACCTTGGGAAAGCTCTGGAATTTTTTGGATTGATAGTTTCATTCTCTCCGGCAAATGCCTTTCATCTGGATTGATGGCCGCATACATCAATTGTTTGGCAATTCCCATGTTGGAATAGTCTGCTTTGAGCTTCTTGGTATCAGCCAACAGAATACTGGCAGCCACAGCAGACTGATATTCGAGCTCATCGGTAATGATATGAGGTTCCTTGAGCTTTGAAACATGATGTCCCTCTGGTACAACTTCTTGTTTGACAAGAGCCTCCCTGACTGCCAATCCAAGGTACTGTTTTTCTCGCTGAAGATAGATTGATTCAATGTGAGCATGGTATGCTGGTTTCCACATTCGTCGCATGGTCCCCCCTCCTGCATCAGTTACAACAACTTCATCCCACTTGTATGTCCAGCCACCGTGATAGAGTGCACCATCAAAGAAAAGGGCTTTGTTGTATTGGATATCAAGTGGATTGTTTGGTCCTCGAATGTAGACACGCCGAGATTGATCTTGAAGAATGGGAATGATCACGGAGCCAGGAAGGGTCAATGCATTCTCTTGATTCTGGTACAGCTCATGATTGGGATCATTCATTGCCTCCCTCAAATTGGGAGCATCATAGTGAACAATCTGGTGAGAAGGCTTGTTGCTGAGTAAATTGGTAGAGGAATGGTTTGGTTGTGGAGACAGTTTTGGTTGGGCCCCAGCTGCCAGAAGTGTTTCTTCATCCACATACATGTGCCAGTTTTGATTGGGGATCCACCTCATAGACCGAAGGTTGCGCTGTTTCGTCCCAATGTTTCCTCTCTTCAACAAAGAGTCATTGGTCTCCTGTACTGTTGGAAGATGAGGATGAGGACATGGGTCACATTTTTCTTCTCAATGCCGCGAATGAGATGCAAAATGGAGGAAAGAACACGTTGGCAAGGAACGGCAGAGAATTGAATGCGCAGCAGCAGTGATCCTTGGACCAAGATTCTTGGGCATAGACATTTGAAACCAGTCGTACTGGCTACTTGCTCTCAACAACTCATACCTGCCCTGTCGTCACTTTGATGATTGAGATCTCCCACATTAATGAAGGAGAAACCTGGAAGCAATTGGAGATTGTTCTTTGGGTTGCCATCTGATATAGTCACAGTGGAAAGTGCACCCCGTACCCCAAGTTGCTCAACGGCGTAATCAAATGCATCTCCAATTGCAAAGTTGGTGGAGAATTCTGCTGTGGCATGTCTCTTATCACTTCTGTATTCAGAAATTTTGTCTTGTCCAATTTGGGAGTGGGGGACCAACATTTTGATTTCAGCATACATAAGCATTGAATCATTGGTGGGATTGATTGTAGCAGAATTTTCATTTGGATCTTGGTGGGAATGAGTACTATTGAGAGTGCTGGCATTGATTGAATACTTGAACTCTTGAGTAAGACATGTGTATGATTCCTTTGGGTTGTTCTTTGTAGTACAATGGAGGACACACAGGGCGCATATTGTTGTTGTTGGGTTTTTTTGATTCATGCACGTGGTGCTCAGTCTCTTCCTCCTCCTTGTGTGGAGAGATTGGATCTCTCCAATAACTGGGACCGAGTGTGGAACTTGGCAAGTCACTAATATGTTACGGCCAGATTGAAGAACCCACAGCGATCTCTGGTGACAATACGTTGACAGAAATTGCTTCGGTGACTTCTTGTCCTTGGTCAAAATGAAACATTGCAATTGGTGATTTCTGAGACAGCCTTGCACTCAGCTTCGAGAGTCTTTTTGACCTTGACATGTTCAACTTTCATCCTTGTGCCAATTGAATCATCTGCTCCAATTTCTTGCCATCAAAGAATGCTCTGGCAAATGTCATGGGATTGCATTCTACTGCAAAGTCAACTCCGTGTCCACGATGGTAGGGAAGAGTGAAACTAGCATAGTCGATCTGCCAGCTATGGAAGGTGGATTCTGCTTTGTTGGAAGCTTGTCAAAAGAAAACTCTAGAGGGGACGGTAGTGATTTGTCTGACTTGTAGAGGGTTCCATTGTCGGAGAATTATCATCACTTCCTTCTTGACTGATGTTGGTGTCATTGACCTCCATTGTTCTTGACAGCTAAAACAGCTAGTAGGAACACAGAGAACACAGTAGTCAGAATGAACAGGGAAGCTGCCTGATGAGTACTTGTAAGAAGAACCAATGTGACTGCCAGCTTCCTGTTGCTTGGTTATTGATTGTTGTTTTCTACTGTTGTGGCTAAAGCTTGTTGATTGCTGCTGCTGCTGTTGTTGTTGTTGTTGCTGTTGTTATTGTTGTTGTTTCTGAAATGAGAAAAAATGAATGGCTTGGGATTAGGTTATGTTGCCAAATGTTTGGCAACATGAAATTTTGTTCCCGTGGGATTGGCAACATGAAAAAGAAGATAATGGTACAAAGTTCCAACTAGGTGCCAAGATTAAACCAAGTTTACTTAAGAATGTCCAAGACGCTGGTGGGAATCAAGTAATTTAAAATCTTGGGAGTACAGTGGTACATAACTCTGGAATTAGAGAAAAGGCAAAAAGGTTTAAGAAGTTTCCACTTGGTCATTTGGTGCTCTGCTTGGTCCGGGTACCAAGAAACAGATAAAACAGTTAAATTGGTGGTACCAAGGGGACCAAGGGGAGGTGCCAAGATTTTGAAACTTGGCCCTAGGGGAGGTACAAGTTCAAAGGAAAAATTACATAAGTGTCCAATTACATACTTAGGGAACTCTCAGGTACCAAGAAACTGAAAACCACAATGTGAGATGCCACTATAAGTACAAGTGATGGCCCAAGAAGTATTTAGGCTATGATAGTATCTAACTAGCAACTTGGTACAGGTTCCAAGATGGCTTGGGAATGAAAAAGTAAAACTTGGTCCATGGACCAAGAATGCTTGGTACCAATAAAATAACTATTAAAAAGAGCAAAAAAGGTACCAAGTTGGAGCTCCAATAGCTTGGTACCTCTGTGGGGAACACACTCATATGCAAACCATTTTCGGGCAATAAATCCACTGAGACCCTTTGCGATGACTAAACTTGGTACCACGGTACCAAGTTTAGATGATTTACGGTTTGTCTAATTAATGTAACTGTCAAGAGTCCCAGTGAAATTACTTAGAAGAACTTAGTACCAACTTGGGGTATGGTTTACTGCTGACCCACATGCCCAGCATCGCCTGACGAACTCGGTGATGAAACGAAAAAGCTTCGCTACCCGCTCCCCATTCTCGTCTTCATTATTTGTCTGTTTGAAGAGTTGTCTTCTGCCATACTGTATTACAAGTATCATACCGTCATCGAATCCTAGCTACCTGTATTGGAGTATCAGATATTCTTCTACTAGTACTAGCTAGCAGAAGTTCTCTTGCGGTTGGTCTGGTACTAGAGCTTGCTAGTTGCAGTGGGGAGAGCATGATGAAGTCGATGAAGAGCATCCTGTGTTCTGCACTACTAGTACATGTACTGCTGGCAACCGCAGCCACAGCCACAGCCACAGCCACAGCCACAACTGCAAGCAACAATACAGGCAGCAATACTACTACGAGCAGTACAACAAGTCCAACAAGTAGTCCAGGCAACTGTGTGGCAGGAGGTTCTGGATTTGGCTATGCGTTTGACTGGACTCGTCCCGACACGATCAGTCTGAAATGGAGCGACATTCCCGCGGGTCGTCACACAGTGGAATACTGGTATCGCATCACGGATCTGCACTTGACTTCGAATCATATAGTGTCGTACAGTGCCTACAACGTGCGTGGCTACTTGGGTCAAGGTGGACAACCGTACGAAGCGGCCAACGAGCTCTTCTTCCTTACGCAACCCGATTCCATCAGTTTGTGGAGAGGCAGTGGACGCGTCACTCTCCGCACTAGTCAAAATCCAAGAGTCGGGACCATCTACGAAAACGAATGGCGCCATTTGGCATATGTCTTCAACAGTTACACAAATCCTCCGCTCGTCCAGTTCTTTCTCGATGGACAGCAGTTGGACTTTGCGAGCACGCAAATCACTCTCACTACCAACGGAACTCACACTGACGCTGACTCTGGGTCTGACTCTCAGGAGGTCACTTACGAAAAGGCGCCCTTCTCAAACGATTGGGATCTGCCAGAGCACCCCGATGCCAACGAGTACTACGGAGTCGACCAGCAAAAACAAGTCAAAGTCGTCGAGAATCCTTGTCTGCTGGCAGAAAAAGCAGAACGATTCCAGTGGTCGGACGTCGTATGGGTCCCGCTGCAATCTACTACTAGTACCAGTAGTACTGCAGAATGCACAAGGGAGGAACAAGCCCTTCTAGTGGCTGCGGCTGGAGCATACGCTCTCGTCTTTGAAAAAAACAGCAGTGAACCACTCTTTGTAGAAGATGATACAACAGCATCAAATGCCGGTTCCTTCCGCTACACCAAGTTCTTTATTCCGGTCATTGCCATTACGACCCCCACGATCGTGCCCACACACATGAATTTCACTCGCACCAAAGATCCTCTCTCCTACGCTCCCGACTTTTCCGGACTCGTGGAACCCAATGGCGTACTGGCTCTAGGACAAGAACCTGATCGACCCTGGGGAGATTTCGATCCACAGCAAGCGGCCAATGGATGTCTCGATGAATTCAGAGTTTGGTCGTCCGCAAGGACCCCTCAGCAAATCAAAGACAATTACAAATTGGCCATCGACACAAACACCGATCCCACTGCCAAAGACTTGCATCTATACTGGAATTTCAATCAACCCACGCAAGGCGCACTCTCCTTGACCACCGATTCGTCTCCCAATGGCACACATCCAGGACTCGTCGGAAATTTACCTACCATTGCCAATGAAATGACCTTTTCCAATGGAGACCCCAAAGCGCCACCGACACCTCCGCTACGCATACCCACACAGGCGTGTCCACTTGTGGGATACAACCAAGAAGTGGTCGTCGCTGTCAACACACAAGCACCCAATGCCTTTACCACCTTTGAGCTCAAATCGTTCGATCCAGATGGAGACGATCTGATCACGACTCTTCTTTCGATTCCACCACCAGAACTGGGCACCTTACACTCAACAACGAGCAGTGAACCCCTGGCTGTGGGAGACATAGTTACGGATCTCGAACGAACAGAAAATAAGCGCGTCGTCTTTGTTGTGACTGCCGACAACAACAACAACAACAACAACAACAACAACAATACTTTTGCACAAGGCATTACCTTTCAATATCAAGTGCAGGACAAGACGTTACATGTCTCCACCGCAACGGTCAGGCTCGTACCTCACGTTGTAGAAGAACCAAACTCCAAAAATATCACCATTCCAGAAGACAAACTATCCTACTTCTCCCTGGGTCGACCCAGTCAAATCACACAAGCACTCATGCAAGTCGTCATTACACAACTCCCACAACGTGGAACCCTCTATCAAGCACAATTCAATCCAAATCTGCGACCCGCCTACACGTCCATCGCCTTGTCTCTCAATCAATACGGGGAAATGCAAGCCATCACGGAACCGCAGGCTCTGGTCGAGAACGAACGGGGTATTGTCATGTATTTACCAGAAACCAATGCAGCGAGTGCCACTCCGGACGAAATTTTTGACACGTTTGCCTACAAGTTTGTCGACACGGCCAGTGGGCTCGAAAGTGCCACCGAGGCGACACTGGGCATTTCGGTGCAAGCTGTGAATGATGCACCCGCATCCATCAATGCATCCGCGGTGGTGATTCCGGGTGAGCAGCAGGATACGGCGGTCGTGCTGACATTGACCAGCACCGATGTGGATCTGGACGCCGCCGAAAGCTTTGCCACTCGACCGTATGCTCGTGTCACACACTTCCCACTGTTGGGACAACTCTATCAATACAATGCTTCATCATCCGATGAAGATGAAGACCACAACAACAACAAAGGTGCCTACCTAGATCCTTCCGTGACGGCAGTCCCGCAGACGTTTGCATGGGCATCTAACGTCCTTCGCTACTCGAGTCAATACAGTCAATGCGGAGCAGCCTGTTATGAGTGGCGCAATCCAGACTGTACATCGACCGACCTTCTCTCCGGTGGTTGGGAAACTGGTAAGTACCGCACAGGAACATCAATCTACAAAATTTTGCATGGTGCGCTTTTTACTGACAACTTCTCTTTCATTCCTTTCAGGATCTTGTTCTGCCACTGGATGGCACGCCAGCGGCATTCTAGGTCCACCAGAGTAAGTAGCATTATCGCGTGGCCAAAAGACGAAACCAAGTAATGTTGTCTCTTGGCGGCAAAAAAATGTGTCACGAAAGATAACTTGCTCACCTATTTCTCGATTGGTTCACCCCCTCCCTCCCTCCAATTGCAAGTGTGTATCCTGTCTATGTTGATTCCAAGAACAGTTGGGACTTGAGCGAAGAGAACGAAGGCCACGAATGGATTGAACTGGAGTTTCCCTTTCCTGTATTCATCAACGCATTTGAAGTGTACGAGGTATGTGACTGAGAATTGTGTTAAGGATCAAAGCTGCCCTCCCCTGACACTTCTCGTGTCCTTCAGACACATAAGCCTGGATCAGTATGGAGAATCTCGACTACGGGTGAGTACCTCGACGACCCCGATGAAACTTGCATTCGGGAGACATGCTCCACAAAGACCAAGTGGCAGACGTTATGGACCAAGCCACAGGAAACCGTCACATCTGGATTCGAACGTGCTACAATTTTCTCCCCTCCACTCTGTCCAAGCACCGTCAAGAGTAACCTGGTCAGGATGGACATTGACACATCTCGAGCTCTTGGTTGGAATGGGTTCGATGCAGCCAAAGTGACAGGATCTCTTGCCGCACCTCCCGGCCTGGTCAACGACCCATCGAATCGTCTCGTGTATGCGCCCTTGACAGGAGTGCATGGTGTCGATCAATTTTCGTTTGCGTCGTCTGATTGTCTTGGTGAAGGAGAGGACGCAATATTTACGGTGACAATCGAAGCTCCTGCGGGCGTGAACGACAATGTCTTTTATCAACAAGAACTCATTTTTCCACTGGAGCCTGGTCAAGTCGAGTCCATAGAGCTGGATCTGTCACAGACGCTTGAGAATATTCAAGAAGTGCTGCAGCGAGAGCCGACAAATTTGACCGCAGCGATTGCGTTCACGAATGCGCTCGGCTCCAACGAAGACGCCTTTGTCAACATTTCATTGACTGATCCCAACGTGACACTAGAGCTGGGTGTAGAACGTCGTGGAGCTCCCTTTTCGCACGTTGATATTTGGTTTTTGGACAATGAGCTGGGTCGAAACATGACCTTCCGTGTCCGCTACTGGATACTGCCACAGCTGGAATGTGTTAATGGCATTGAAGATATTGACCAAGGGATATGTATTTGCACGAGTAGCCAGTGGACAGGCGAGGTATGCTCTGAAGAAGTCAGCAACGAAGTCAACCTGGGACTGGCGATCGGCATGCCGATAGCTGCGGTGTTGATCGTGGGATTGATCACCTACTTTTATTGCGAGGGCCGCCGCAAGCAGAATGACTCTGTGTGGCACGTTAAAAAGGAGGAACTTAAGTTTGGAGATCCCCCCGAAATCGTTGGGAGAGGAACGTTTGGTGTGGTTCTTTTGGCAGGTACGTATGAAGGTAGCTCCTTGTTGCGGCGCCAGTTGTTCAACTTGGTATCCTCACTACCTCCTCATCCTCATGCCGTAGAATATCGTGGGACTCAAGTCGCAGTGAAGCGAGTTATTCCTCCAAAGTCCAGCGGAAAGAAGGACGATCGACTGGACATAACTGATCATAACGATTCCACTCATCGCTCGGGTTCGAAATCAAGTGCTGGGCTGCAGTCGGGTTCGTTTGGGCGGTCATCAGCTGTGGGCGCACTATCCGGGATGAACTTGGTGTCGGGGGCGACATCAATGGTCGGGATGGGATCAATGTGGATGACCTCTATGGTGGGAGGGGGTTCGCAGACAGAACAGATGGAAATTATCCAAAGGAAGAGAATGAAGTTGGAGTTTATCGAAGAAATGAGATACTTGAGGTGAGAGAATAGCCTGTGGCACATAATCTCAGTTGAAGTGGTCATACTCGCAAACTCAAAATGAATCATATTTGTATACCTCCAGCAAATTGAGACATCCCTGTGTAACAACCATCATGGGTGCAGTCCTGGGGAAAGATCCAATGCTGGTCATGGAAGTGAGTCTTCTGGTTTGTGAAGTTTTTGCGCAGCCATTAGTTTGGGATGAGATTCTAACGTTGCTTGGTGTTCTTTCTCCGTGAAGTACATGGATCATGGCAGTTTGTATGATTTGTACGTTTTGCCTTTGAGCTGGACGCGACTCGTTTCCTATGGCAGATGCTTACAGCCGTTGTTGCTTCTTTTTAGATTACACAATGAGACTATGGTCATAGAAGGGGATCTTCTTGTCAACGTACTGAGAGATATCTCCCAGGGGATCCGATTCCTGCATTCAGCAACGCCTCAAGTAATCCATGGTGACTTGAAAGGTGAGTCATTTTAAAGGGGTCTTCTTGTCAGTGCTGCGAGAGAAATCTCACAGGGTTACGTTTCGGACACAAAGCTGCCAATATATTGGTGGATACCAAGGTGAGTCATTAACGGGGTCTTCTTGCCAGTGTTGCGAAAGAAATCTCAACAGGGTTACGTTTCGGACGCGCAGTTTCGAGCGAAAGTTGCAGATTTTGGGCTTTCCCAAAAGCAGAATCTCGGTGGTACCGGAACTCCGTTTTGGATGGCTCCAGAGCTGCTACGAGGCGAGAGTGCCAACACGGCTGAAAGCGACATTTACTCGTTCGGTAAGCAGGTCTTCGTGACATGGCATACCTGAAAAACTGGTGTGTAGAATGTGCTCACGTGAAACCGTCACATCTATGCAGGAATGATTCTTTTCGAGGTGTATTCAAGACGCGACCCGTACGAAGATGAGGACGCCCATGAAGTTCTGCGTTTGGTTGCTGACCGGCAGGTCATGAAGCGCCCTCCAGTCCCGAGATACATGCCCGAAAAGATGAAGTCCCTCATGACCGATTGCCTTGACGACAACCCAGAGCAGGTATGTGCACAGGAATGGAGAAAATTGTGTGACCGAGATTAGGATTGATGTTACAAATCTAACTTGAGCTTGTGTGATGCAGCGACCTTCCTCGGAAGAAGTCGACGTTCGCATCAAACGTATGGATGTGAAAAATGTTGACCCTGGTCAAGCAAACGTCAAGGCTTCGTCGGCTTCGTTGTTTGACGTATTCCCCCGCCACATAGCAGAGGCCTTGCGCGATGGCCGTACTCCTGATCCTGACCATCGTGATTCGGTGACTATTTTCTTCTCTGATATTGTCGGCTTCACCAATTTGTCAGCAACCCTGGAACCTCGGAAAGTTGCTCAGATGTTGGACCGATTGTACACCAAGCTCGACGCTCTGACGCATAAACATGATATTTTCAAAGGTGAGCTCGCCGATTGACCCTGCCTTTTGGTGCATCTTTGCTTGGGTTCTCAAAGGCGTTTGCCTCCGCTCAATTGGCAGTGGAAACCATTGGTGATGGTAAGTTTACCTGTTTCGTTGTCTCGTGGCAGATTCGTTGCTTCCAGTTGCTCATAGTTGTCCTCTTTACCCCCAATATAGCTTATATGGCGGTGACAAACTTGGTCAAGGAACAGGACGACGACCACGCCAGACGCATAGCACTTTTTGCCATCGATGCGATTGCTGCAGCTAACGACACCATCATCGATGCTGATGATCCTGCAAAGGGTCATGTCAACATACGAGTCGGATTCCACTCTGGGAGCGTGGTGGGTGACGTGGTTGGGGTAAGATCATCTTCGCCCGTCTCTGCGGTTTTTTTTGCTTTGCCCCAGTCTACTAACATGAGAGGTGTCCATTTCACACAACGCTAAAAAACAGACGCGTGCACCTCGGTAAGTATGGACGATTCGATTCGATCAATCGAGAACGCGAGTTCGATTGAGTGGTACAGTAGAACGAGGCACTAATCGGTCTCCCGTCATTTATTTCTCCAACGTTCCTGCATCTACAGGTACTGCCTGTTCGGGGATGTAAGTGTTTTTCACAAGCGGCATTGGCTCAAATCGGCTGTTTGCCTCACAAGTGAATATTTCTGTGTTCTACCAGACGGTCAACACAGCTTCTCGCATGGAAAGCAACTCGGAAGTCAATCGAATTCACTGTTCACGGGCAGCCGCACAGCTTCTTCACACGCAGTGCCCAGATTTGCCATTAACGTCACGTGGGAAGATTTCAGTCAAGGGGAAAGGTGTGCTAGAAGGGCTCAGAAACTAGCATCATGCCTCACTGTTACTTACTTTTGCTGTTTTTCTCCACTCTCGTCTCACAGGTAAAATGCATACGTATTGGTGAGTAGAGGGATTGCGTATCGATGGTTAGAGCGCACACACTTTGAGTTCTCAATTGGTGCTGACCTGCTCTTATCATTTCGCAGGGTGAATGAAGGTGGATCTACTCGAAGGAAGGGGTCAAGCTTTTTTGACCTGAACGACTCGTTCGGTGTGATTTCAACGGGCATGGATGACAGCGACATTGAAGCGCCGCCTCCAGAGACGATTCCGAAGGAAGCATCTAATAAGAGGACGACTCAGCTTGCTGGTGCGACGCTTGAGAATGTTCCCGAGGAACCTGAGGAATCCATGGAATTCTTCTCTGATGAATTTGATGTAGAGGAGTCCTTCGCAGTGGAGGTTCCCGAACCTGAGATGGCTCCTCCTCCAATCATCGCTCCTCCTCTGGTCGTCAAAAGCTCCCTGTCCCTGTTTGAGGATGAGATCGAGGTGTAGTAGGTACATGTAGGATCAAGCAATATTCATACTGCACACAGCTCTGCACACATTGCTACCGTAGCCATCTAGCAAACTTGCAAAACATACTGTACGACTTCTTGATAAAAGTGAATGATCCAATTCGAAAAGTGGAACAATTCTCGGGATGAGTTTGGCTTTGACTGGACGAACCTGGAAGCCCACACAGACAGGCTGGCTTGTACTAGTATTACCGTTGTTTTAGGTCTTGTTTCAATCTTTCCTTCTCCAAGTTTTCTATTAAATTTTTTAACAAGTACTGCACGTAGGGGGAAGCTGCGAACTTTCCGCACTTTTCGTACACACGAACGAGGCGACGGCCAGCCAGCTGGCTACTGTACTACTACGTGCCCTTTTGCCATTGCCCATTTCAATTTTTAGTTTCTGTACGCACTTCAAGGTTCAAGGTGCGGAAGCCCCATCAAACGCTACCAGGTACCAGAATAGCCGACGAGATTGCTCCCCGTGCCCTGTTGCCATTGCGAAAAGGAGTTGGAAGCAAGAACAGCATCCCGACGACATTAAATTACCACTAGCTAGGGAGTCCCAGCCTACCTCCACTGCTGCAAGAAACGATGTCTGAAATTGAAGGCCAAGTAGCCACAGTGGCACCAAGACAGCCAGGACAAGCATACCAGTACGAAACAGCACAGGTGCAACCGCAACAGCGTAATGGCTACAGCGCTGATCCGCAACAAACTCCGGCTCCAGTGAATTACCAGTACGACGCTGCCGAATCGGAAGCTCTCTTCCGAATGGTCGAACAACCCAAAGACCAAGCGGACGCCGAGACTATGGAGTACGCCGACGAATATGGGGAGGAAGAAGAAGACGGCGAAGTGGAGCAAGCGTTGACGGAAGATGCATACTCATTGCTGTACACGGGTAAGGCAGCTGAAGCCCAGAAGGAGAAGGATTGATTGGGTTTCTCACTTTCATCACATTTCCTGGTTTAGCCGACTTTTTCAGTCGAACGGCATTCTTTGCTATTACTGTGGTCCTTCTTCAGGCAGGAATGCTATTCCTGACTTTGTTAGACCTCATTGACACAAACCCAAAAGGTGAAGAGAGTAAGTTTGCCATACAGTACCGTGCCACTTAGACAGCGGATGTATCCTGCAAGAACTAACTGCAACCCAACCTCGACCCATAACCTCACAGACAAAACGAACGGGGTCAGCAACCGACTCAATGTCCCACCAGGGGCGACCACCTATGTGACCATTGCTCAATTTCTTGGTACGTCAGGCGATTCCTATAGCGACTGTAGGCTGAAGTGAAACACATGGTTTGCTAATGCCTCATCTTCCCGGAATGTAGGCATGGTTTTGACAGTGATGCTCATGGCAGTCGAGGGTGATATTGTGGTTGGATTCTCTCAGTTGCTCGAAGGTTACGATGATGGAATTCTGCATGACATGCCCAATGCAACTTTTCTCCGATGGTGCGCTGATGGATTGTACTGATATTCGATTCAATTGCAGCCTTATTTTGTTCGGTTGTGGGCAGAGACCTGCTAATCCGACCTTCTTCTTCTTCTTCTTCTTCTTCTTTCTCCTACAGGCTTGTCACCGGCTTGATGCAATTGATGGTTGGAGTGATTCTAGTACTCGATTCATTTATTCTCTCCATGAAGTCTACCACTGTCATTGACTTGGTTCTCAACTTGACGGCCTTGTACTTCGTTCAAGAGGTAGATGAGATTGCTTTTCAACGTGAGCGGCTCACGGTGAAGTCTCCTTTCAATTGTGCTAGCTGCAAAGAATGAATACGCTGATACCTTGGCTTGTTATCCTTGTGTTTTAGTGGCAGATATGGGAATCCTATCCAGTGGGATTCAGGAGGATTGTGAGAAGGTCAGTGGGGATATGTCTTCTCTCATACGAAGTGCTGTCACTCTATGCTGATCAGGTCGATATAACTTGTTCCTTATGTCATGTGTCAGGTCAAGAATTTGAAGCAAGTCTCGCCACCAGAGTTCATAGAAAGGCGCAGGTTCTGTAAGCGGGTCTTGCTCATTCTGTTGCTCATTGGACTGATCGTGCCGTATGCCATTGTTGTCAGTTGGCAAACCAATGGAGTTTATCTTTGTAATCATGGTTCGTTCTTTCGTCCCGTTCAGCTAATGTTTTTCAATCTTTGCGCTGATCTAACAATCCCAGCTTTCTCTCTTCGGACCGGCGGCAGTATACATCCAGTTTGGAGACGCTTTCTTGCCCGAGATGGCGTACTATTCTGGCCAGTTCCACCAGCAAGGTTTTGGTTGGGCCGATCGTGTCAACGACCGGGTTGTTTACATAGATGATTCTGAGAAGCTGAAGCTTGCCTACTGCAATTCGGAGACTGCCTGGACGATCTCCTGGGCAAACACACTGTCTTCATGCGACTACATCTTCAAGAGTTCCAATACCGACACATTTGATGTGGCCGAAGTTGACAATTGGGTGGTCAAGACCACCACCACAGGCGATGTGCCTGTCGACTGGCTGAAATTGGTTTGTAACGATTGCAACCCGGAGCTTTGCAACGAAGCATACGGTGATTGTAAAGTCGACAACAGTCCAGGTTCCAGATTGAACAAATGTGAATGCAAATCGAAAGATCGACAAGGCTTAAATTGTGAATTGTCAGCGAGTTGTCTCTACTTTTCTCTCGACGCTCGAACAACCGACACACTGGCTGCTCAACCTGGAGGGTATTTCCTAGCAGAAACGGAGTTTGTGGATCTGAGGGTTGTCCCGGGCTTCGATGACGGCATCACAATGATGCACCATCGCTACATATATGCTCCTCTTGATGACTTTGAGGATGGATCACCCGTAGTGGCAGATAACATCACCACATTCATGCTTTTTTCTGGAAGGCGGTGGGTGATTTACACCTTGCCAGAGGGGTCATCTGAGAAATTGGCCAAGGACGAATTCATGACTTTTCTGCGGGACAACGATCCTGCCAACAGACCTGTTGAAATGTTGAAGAACATCAGCATTACGTACCCTCACTTTATCCCTTTGTTTTTCAGCTCTCCTGTGAACTACGGCGGAGAGGAATATATTCGAGAGTCTGGTAATGGTTGGGTAATCACACAACCAGTTTCCAATTACACAGTCCTTCCACGCGAAGCGGACGACAACCAACCCCTTCCTGCGACCTACTTATGCTCGGACTGTGTGAGTTCTGTCTCTGCTAGTGTGCTATTGCATTTGTTTAGCCTCTCATTTGACTTTTTGCCTCATCGATCATTGATCTCACAGAGCACTGACCCCGACCTCTGTCAGAACAATGGAATATGCGATTCTGGCGTTTGCCATTGCTCGTATTTCTTTTGGTAAGCAGATTATTGTGTTTCTTTCTGTGCACATTTCCTCATTCTCATGACTCGCCTGCCTCTGGTTGCCGCAGGGGCCCCAATTGTGAACGCGCTTTTGAGTGCCGCGAGTTTGGGCTTATCGACGAAAAAAGCAACAAGACTGGTTGCTATTTTGAACAAGGCAATTGCAATCCCGTGACTCGACTTTGCGAGGATTGTGATCATGGTAATGTTGGCTGAGGAATTGATAGCCCCCCCCCCCCCTCGGTGAATCTAACTCTCCTTTTAAAATGCTCAATGCCAGGTACATTTGGAAACTTGTGCCAGTATGGCGGCCCAAACGCATTGAGTGACCAAGATCAGTTGTTTTGTGCCCAATGTGAGGCCTCTTACGGCTCTGATGATGACTGGGCTTGCAACGTGCATACGAAAGACTGCCCTTGCTTGCCTGGCTATACCGGGGATCTTTGCGAAGATGACTCCACAACCAAACCTCCCTCGGACGACTTGGTGGAAGCTATTGTCAACACGACCACAGAAATCGTGGAGACAATTCTCAACACAACAACGGAAATGATGGGCGGAGTATCCAATGAATTGGGTGCTTTCACAAACGAAACAGCAAACACCTTGGGGGTTTTTGCCCAGCCAAATCCTCCTGCAGGTGCAGCAGACGGTGGCCCGCCCCAGTCGGAGGCTCCAGCAGAGGGTGCCCTCCCCCAGTCCAATCCTCCAGGAGATGGCTCCGGGAATCTGCCGCCGCCGCCCCCATAAGATCGAGTGTTTCGCTCATTGCTCTTGACAGTTTCACCAAGCCTTGGTTTGCGGATTAGCTCAATACCAGGATGACCCGCATGGCATGAATTGTGCTTGCCGAATTCCAGCCAGTTTCAAAACGAACACAATAGTTGTTTGAGCTCGAGTGACTACTAGTAATGGTGGTACAGGATTGCTCGCTTCAAGATAATTCATATTAGGTTTTCTATGTATCTCTTTGGAGGTATGACTACTACATGTACTAGTAGTAGACTATTGTAGGATAAACGGCCTGGCTCGATGGGATGGCATCGCTGATTGCGAGGCTCTCGACGTTTGATACCTCTTTGCCATAACGCACTTTCACTTCATACACAGACATTCATAGTCACGTCCACGTCCTTCTCTCTTACATGGTCTGAATTTCGGCACGACCAGCGGGAAGAGGTTCCATGCAGGCATGGACTTTGACTCCGTTCAAGTAACACGTACAAGTACCACATGCCCCACGTTTACAGTACGTCGGAATGTTCACTCGCGCCCGCTTGGCCACTGCGAGAATCTTCTGCCCCGTTCTCGCCGATGGAACTGGCTTTCCATTGACTGTCACCACTCGCTGTTTCGGCTTTTCCTTGGTTGCGCTTGCACTGGCACTGGACCCAAACGAGAAACCACCGTTGCCAAAAAGATCCAACTGGGTGTCAACTGGTACCTTGGATGGTCCATTGCTTCGGGTACTAATCGGAAGAGCAGTTGATGGTGTAGGCACGGAGACAAAAGCCGACGCCTTACCAATCAGCATCATCATGGCCACGATGAGAATTCTTTGGTTGTTGGAGAGCATTTTTCGTCTTTGGTTTCGCCTCGGAAATTGTGAGCGATGTTGGAGACACCGGCACTACGGTACAGCGGAAGAGACGATGATGTCAAGACAGACACAATGACCACCTGTCACTTGAGTATCAAGACTTTGTACAGTGAATGATGCAGAAAGACGGCAAAGAACACCAGATGTCACCAGACTTTCCGGTGGTGTGTTCCACACTCAAAAAGATATTTTAGGCACGAATGAATGATTTAAATCCCGAGCACGATTTATTTTGAGCAGGGCAGGCAAATTCTTTGGCACAAGAAGAACGAAAGAGAGATTGAGAGAAAGACCTGTGAAGATCACAAGTCATCACCAGTCACGAGCTACGGCACCGGTACGGTATCGAGCTAGCTACCAGGTACTGGTACTGCTACTCTCCTTGGTCTCGGTTGGACCTTCGCCTTGTAAAGATCGCAAGGTCTGACTGGTCTCTGTAAATTCACAAGCTGGTGCCTTGATCCGCCTGTCAGCAAAGTTGCTGTCCCAAATCCATTGTTTGGGGGAACAGAGCACCATGAGAATTGCCTTTTTTCGTCGCTTGCTGCCGCTTTTAGTGGTTCTCTGTTTGCAGCAACAAGCCACCAATGGCGAAGAGAATCTTTACCGCCTTCTGGGGGTGTCCAAGTCAGCAACAACCAAGGAGATCAAAAGTGCCTACCGACGAAAAGCACTCGACACTCACCCCGACAAACGCAAAGATATTCCAGCGGAACAAGCGGCCGCTGAATTCCACAAGGTTGTCCAAGCGTTCGAAGTCCTCAGTGACAAAGATTCTCGTCGCATGTACGATCGTACTGGACGAGTCCAACAGGGAGGCGGAAATCAGAACAACAACGCTGGCAGAGGAGGAGGAGGAGGCGGAGGATTTGGCGGCGGATTCCAGTTTCACTGGAATTTTCATGGTGGTCACTATCAGCGTCGTAGTCGTCGTTTGAAAGATCAATTTAAAGTCAAGGAGTGTATGAGTCGAGTCATGCACATTGTCAGTCTCAGCCAGCTTGAAACGGTCATGCTCGATGAGAATGGGTTGCTGGAACGCAATCTGCTCATGGTCTTTGTCACGCCAGGCGACGTGGAAACACTTGTGGATGACGAAATTGTATTTCCGTACCCCTTTGCAGCCATGTCAGAACAAGGAATCTGGTGGGAAGATCTTCTGCAGACAGCCAAGGTCCGATACAACAAAATCAACGGACTCTCCAAATTCTTCAATCTACCAACTGGCGACAGCATGCGCAAACGGGGAAAACCAATCTTCTTGTTTGGACGTAGAGGAAAACCTCTCAAACCGGAAAGCTTCACCAGACTGGAAACTGGCAGTCGAGATGAATTCGACAAGTGGATGTGGCGACAGATTGAAGTACAAGTGCATTTCCGAAATGATCATCATCACCCAGTCGAGTTGTTCTGGATTCATGGACAGAGAGCTCATGACAAGGGGACGTTGGAGCCCGGTCATGGCGTCGCGCTCACTACAATGTTGACACATGAATGGTGGGTCAGGGACTCCCGTGTTGATAAACGGAACGACTCGCCCGGACGGCACAAACTGAGCAAGGAGTCCATGGCGGCAATCTGGAAAATCAAGGACGACCAGCAAAAAGATTACATCATCCCGCCGAAGGACTGCATTGACCTGTCGGGTCATTGCACATGGTGGAAAGGACAAGGCGAATGTCGAAAGAATCCAGACTTTATGCGCGAGGTATGCCCGCTCACGTGCAAGCATTGTTCCGAAGCAAACGACAAGTTCAAATCATATGATCACAAGGAATTTGCTTAGATGTTGTTGCTGCTGCTAATGTTGATGCTGATGCTGATGCTGATGCTGATGATGATGATCTATCATACAAAATGGGTACCGGCATGGTGCTTCAGAGGATGACAATGGCATTGATACATCCCAGAAGAACAGATTGGTATTGACCAGACCACCAAATAAAAGGCAATAACAAACCAGCCTGCATGTCCTGCATGTCACTTTTAGAAATGTGTGCATATTGCTTCAATGACTTCATGTTATCAAAGTTCCAAGGATCCAGCAATTTATGTTGTACTAACAATAAGTGCTTGTCTTGAAGCGAGACTATAACAGAAGTATCACAAGTTCTATATTCATACAAATTTTAACTTCAAGCATGCATGTAGTAGTTACACAAACAATCATCGTTTCTTGTGTGCTCCTCCCAAGCAAGACCTCCCAAATTGTGCTGCTGTACATGTATCATGATGGGGATCTCGCACCTGACAGAAGAAGCACTGCGAAGGCACATGATATGTGGCCAGCTACACTAGTAGTAGGCCTTCAGCCTGGGCAACCCTTCACCTCAACCCAGAAAAGCACACTAGTGGCCTCGGACAACCCAAGGTACAGCGCAGCACACCGCTGGGAAGAGCAAGCAAAAAGAAATGTGATACAGGTGAAACCGGAGTGGGCGAACAGTGCAACCAAGGCGACCGGAACTGACAGGCCACAGTTACTTGTGCTTTCAGAAGTGGTTGTCCCATACGGTACTGTAGTGATGGGGCTTTGCCTTGGGGGCAAGAAGAGTTTGGTTGGGTCAAGTCCCCAGTCAAGTCTGGGTCCTGAGAGATGGGCTTCCCTATCCTGCCGATGCCAATACAGCTTTCTGGCTTCCAGAGTTGAGACGTCATACAATTGAATAGATCAAGAAGTCAGTCACAAGCGAGTCCCTTTTTACTGGTGACATAATAATTATTAAAATAAAAAATGAACGATATTGAGTCAGCTTGGGCCACGTGCCATCCAAAGGGCTGTGATTACTGGATACTTTTGGAGCAATTGGTTAAATCTTCTTGATCTTGCCTGGTTTGGACCATCTTTATAATACTTATAATCCCGCCTTTAGCAGAGTACAATAAGCTTGATAGTATATTCCCCAAAATCAACCATCAAGACATGTCACGTTGAAAAGAGGAGAACAGCACGACAAAAGCTAGAAGAATGAGAAGTAAGTGTGAACTGTGCGAAGTGCGAAGTGTGAAGTCGTAAAGTGAGGAGAAGCTACTCTCTAGTACTAGTAGAATCTATCTGCTGGCCACCACCAGCTATTAATAGTAGCAGAAGGTAGCGCTGCATAATGCATTGAGGAAGTGCTGTGAAGCAGACTGTGAAGCCATGTAGCAGTAGCATGGGCAGGGTTAGCCGATCAAGCGAAGAATGAGAACATCACGATTAGTTTCGGCAATCCATCGACTTCCTGTTGGTAGGGTTGGAGCGATCTGGTTCGGCGGGAATGGCTTCCTCATCTGCAGTGCAACCTTGTCTTCTAGCTAGCTGCCTGCCTACCTACCAGCTGGCTACCTAGAGGCTGTCTCTGTCTAGCTGGCGGGGGGTCGCTGTGGGTGATCTGCAGGTCCCTTTCAGGGAATTTGTGCTGGACCATGGCGTAGCTCTGATATGGTTGTTTCTGGCTAATAGAGTACATGTAATATTAAGTTAGTAGAAGAAAGGATATTGGTGTGAATGCATTGATTTATAATATAATATTGTAGTATTAGTTAATATTGTGTCATGGTTGCGGAAGGGGAGTATGGACTAGTAGTACAGTGTCTATTTGTTTGAAATGCGCATGGTCGCCATGAGCGTTCTTACGGCTCCCTTCATCTTGCGTCGTTCCTTGCGGCGCTCTTTTCGTGTATTGGGTGAATCCAAGGCTTCGCTGTCCAGCATTTCACCAGGATGATTGACGGAAGCATCCTCAAACTGTCTGGAAGAGGATCCAAGGGCGCGACTGCTGGGCTGGTCCATCCTTCGAGTGGAAGTACCCAGCACCATGCCAGATCCCCCAATGGAACGGTTGCTGGCAAAGTTGTTGTTACGACTGAGACTGTCCAGCATGGAAGCTCTGTCTTTTCGGACTACCTCAGTAGATCGTCTGCGGCTGTGATCCATGCCAGCAGCCGCACGTCGCTCTGCGGCCTGGTGATCCTTAACAAAAACCTCCATTACATTGACATCAGTAGGCATGTCCATGGTGGGCACTGGTGGTGGTGTAATGGGAGGCAAGAAGACACCATTGGCGCAGGCAGTGTTGCTGCTGGGCAAAGCAGCCACACTGGGAGCTCTACTGAGAGAAGTGTTGTTACTGCAAACACTGCGAGCATCTGGGTGGTAAGGCTGCTGTGGTTGAAGGGGAGGAATGGCACCCAAGTTTCGAGTGGAAACGGCTTGGACGGAGGGTGCTCGTCGAAAGGACGGCTGCTGTGGGTGGTGAGGCTGGTTTAGCGTGGGCCTCCTGGTTCCTCGTGGTGGTGCCGCCGGACTGCTGCAGTAGCTTCCGTGACTGTGGTCTCCCATGAGTCTGCGAGGAGGTGCCGTGATGACAGGGAGTCCATTTCGTTGCGGGAAGTGGGCTTGAACGGCTTCTTGATGATGGTGTTGCCTTGGCATGCTTTGGTGTGGATGTTGATGTTGATGCTGGTGCTGATGATGGTGGAGTGGCTGGAAACCCATGTTGCGTGTCGATGACGGCATGGAACGATCACTCATCAAGTGATGACGACCGCTTCCGTTCCCCATGTAGTCTCCTCCTCTGGTGGAATGAGGATGTGGGTGATGGTAGTGCCTGGCACTGTTGGAGTACGACCCCGACATGCCCGAGATGTCGCTGACATCATCGTTCGCTTCTTCGATTCCAATTCGACTGGAACTGCTCATGTACTGTGTGGGAAGGGTGTGCTGGCTTCCATGGGATTTGCGAGAAGAAGTGCTTGGTGGCGCCTGGTGGAGCTGTTGTGGGTGGTGAGCAGCATGATGATGATAGGAAGACGAAGCACGAGACGAGAAGGACTCGCGGCAGTACTCTCGACTGGGATGTCTTCGTGGTGGTTCGTTCGTGTAGTGAGGGTCAGCCACTGTTCGCGCTCTTCGGTGTTGCGGTCTCTCATGGAATCGATCACGACCGTCTCTGTAGTGAGGAGTCGGCTCATGATGTAATGGAACTGGTGCTCTTCGGTCAATGGAGTCGTCTAGTGACGGATCGTCTTCAATGGAAGGATCATCTTCTTGTCTTCTTCTTACGTCAAGCTCTAGCTCAAGCTCAAGCTCTGGTTCCACTTCTTCATTGTCAGAAACTTCACCGGGCTTCTTTCCGTCTTGAGTCTCGTAGTCTGCTGGATCGTCCGTCATGATCAGAGTGCCTGTGATGTTCACTGTGCTGTGGTGTCGCTGGACCGAGCGGGGTGCTCTATCGTTGCTGTTGCCACTAACATCATCCAGACGATGAAAGCCACCGCCACCGCCAACAATTGGTTCATCCACTTCCACTTCCACGTAATCAGTGTATCGATCCACAAGTGGAGCTGGACTTGGTTGTCTTCGTGGTGGGCTGGGCCGTTGAGAAGGTCTGGCTTGACCGCACATTTCACAGCTCAGAAACAGAGGCTTGTTCAGAAACGTGCAGGTACCGCAGCTCCATTCTTCTGCATCGTCGGCTGTTACACTGCCAGGCATCGTTCAATTCAATTCAATTCAATTGTATACTATTCTTACTACAGTTTGCTACTACTAGCTAGCTAGCTTGTTGTGTGCTAGCAAGTTTAGTTTGTTGTTGCTGAAGGACCTCTCGTCGAAATGGGGAGGTGTGCTTCGAATTTTTAATAATGAGCAGATAATTGCCTTTTCGACTGGCTAGCTAGGTCGAGCCTCTCTTCCAGCCTGTTCCAACCACGGTACACTGAAACCCATAGTCACTCCACTAAAGACTCCACACTGTGAAGTAGTAGACGCCCAAGAGTACTACATGTACCCTGGGACGCCATCTCCTTGGGAATTTCGAACCGCGTCCGGATTTACGATTAGATTTGAGCCCCAAGAATGGCGAGGAAGAAATTGTTAAATGTACTATCAATGACCATGACTTACCGCGAACTGTAGAAGGTAAAGTACTCATCTTTTGAATCGTTAAGTCACTATCTGTCGCAGAGAAGTCACATACAAGAGCATCACTAAGTCTATTTCATACTTTCACATTGTGAGAAGGCGCCATTTCCAGATGGAGTCCAGAATTATTTCTGTTCATGTGACTCAGACCCTAACTAAGAATGCGGTGTTGAGTTAGGGTTAGGCGGCTTAATCTTAGTGATATTTTGAGACCACCAGGCTTAATTGAAGTACAAAAGCATTTCTACTTTAAAGATGACTCTTACTTGAAACGACAAATGCCTGCTTACAGAGCTCTGGCTTTATTTCAAGACATGGTTAAGTGATCGATGCCCTACTTCAGTGAAAAGATTATAGCCTCTATCCTTGTCACAAAATAATACAGAATGAAGGGAAGCAACCATGCAAGTCTAAGTTAGCCAAGTCAAAGCTCAAGTAAGAAAGGAAACCTGAAGATAGGTTGCCATCTCAAAGACCCTTCAGTGTGGTCAGCTCCAGCTGACCCCATCCGGTTCTTCTCGGGAGTTCCTTCCGTGGATGTGTACACTGTATTCTTGACAAAGTCATGGGAAGAGGTCAAAGAATGTTTCCTCTAATGCAATGTTTGAAGAGGCAACAGCGGCATTGGTTAGTCGCACTCCAAGGGAAAAAGCGGTACTGTTGGGTAGTCTACACGAGCACTCCAGTACTGGTAATAATAAGGCCACCAAGAAGTGATCTATCTGTTGCTACATCACCTCTTGGAACTCTTGGTACCATCTTGACCTTGTAAAAAAATGAGATGCGTCTTAGCTTCTCGCGCAAATCATAGCTCCAACTACTTGACATTGTACAAAGATGGGATGAATGAGGCCACTGGTACACTGGTACTGTAGTAGAGCGACATCAGGAGTTAGAGCTCAGTGCGTTGATAGTACAAACGGAAGTCTTCGTCAGGCTCATGCCCAATGCCTAATGCCCAGAGATGGTCACAGGCCAATATTTTTCTCTCCCTTTCTTCACGACCTGATGTAGAAAGAAGCTATGTAGAACGAAACGAACTAGCTAGAGAAGGCTCCCCCACCAGCACCATTCGCTCATTCGCTGGTAAATGCTTCGTTCGATCATTGCTTGTTGGAACTGTGGAACTCCAAATCCATCCCGGCTAGGAGCGACGTTCCAATGCCAATGCCAGTTGCATGTTGCATAACCACAAAGAGAGAGCAAGAATACAAATCGACGAGCAGGCATCTCGTACCAGATCTACTAGTCTAGCTTTTAGTCCTATTTGCAGGGATGAGAGGTCCTCACCGTACCGCACCACCGGTACCGTACAGAGTACATGTAGAGAGAGATTGAGCTCGGTTTGCGCAATGAACCCGAGAGGAGCCACACCACTAGCAACAAAATCCAAAGTCAACCTTACGTTTGCTTACCAGTGACGACGACTTGGACGCTGGAACCTCGAGTGCTACTTTCTGGAACATTAGTTGCTGACTGACTAAATAGTGAACTCGACGGGACTTCTTGCTTGCTCGTCGCGTCGTTGTTCAATTAATTCGTTCTGGCTGTCCCAGCTACATGTACGTTAGCAATGCCAACATCCTCAATACCGGTACTCCTTAGTGGTGATCGAAGCCATGTCAATTTTCAGCAACAATCTGTTGGCGGCGTGGCGTTCCTTCTTGGTTTTTCGTTTCCTTTGCCAACAGAACTAGCTAACGAGTGTGACAAGTTGCCTTTGCAGCAGCAAACACAGTCCGGCATTACTCTACCTCGGTACCAGGTAGTAGCTAGCTAGCTAGAGATATGAAGTTGTTAGCCAGCCGCCACCCCTGAGAGAAACCCCTCAAACCTATCCCAATCAGTAACGTTTTGGCACCGTGTGCACCGTACCGGTACCGGTACATGTATTTTAAAATAATGTGAAGGAGAGGCGCTGTACCTTTCCTTTTCAAGATTGGTTACCGTACCTTTCAATGTTTCACTGTCAGTTTACTCAATAGAGTTAGAGTTGTCCAATGACGTTTTCGTCTTCTTCATCCAACAACCCAAACGTCGCCCTCGGTTTCCTTAGGAGAGCCGAGTAGAGTAGAGTAGAGTCGAGTCAGTCAGAGTGACAGTCCACTGCTTCTGGTGCTCATCGTCCTACCACCTGGTACCGGTACCTAAGTTAGAGCTCTACAGTAGTTAGTAATAACCGAGAATGCTTCATGCTCGCCAAGTGGGGTTTCTCTTTCTGATTTCCATTGTTTCCATTCTCAAACTTGCTTCCTATCCAATGGTGAATGCATTCCGTACGGTTTCGGGATTCTGCGGTCGTCGCACTGGCAGCCGATTTTACTCCTCTTCGAATCGAATCCGAGCCGAGACATCAGTTTGTCGACGGCATGCTGCTAGTGTGGCCGTCATTGCTGCTGTTTCGTCCGCTACGGCGTTGGCAGCTCAAGGAGATGGTCACGACTGGAGGCTCCATGGCAGCCGCAATCTGACCACGGCATTTTGCGAAGAAACAACTCTCGAAACTGATACAACCGATGCGGTCTTTCCAGAGACTCTCCTGAAGTATGATCATTACAACGGTGTCATTGTGCATTTGGATTGGATTCTCCAACATCCGAACAAAACTGAAGAAGCGAGCTTGGATGAGGAAAGTGAGAGACAGCAAATTTTCCAGAAATGGACCAGCAACCCACAAGAATTTGAACAAGTCCTTGAGACTTCCTTACGGAAATGGAGAGCCGAAGGGCGAAAAGGAATTTGGGTTCATCTGCCTCGCTCCATGGCATCTGTGGTTCCAGTAAGTGCAATCACAGTACAGTTGCCGGACTGTTTTCTTGGTCTGAATGTTTGCAGTTTTATTATTTTGATCTAACCAAACTGCCAACCAACCAACCAACCAACCAACCACCAAGGCATGCATCAAATTGGGCTTTGATTTCCACTCCTGCCAAACACACAACCGAATCAATGCTGGGTCTGAAACTGGAAGCACAAGTCTTATATTGAGTCAATGGTTGCCCACAGATGTCAAGTCAAGGTTACCCCTAGGGCCTTACTTTCAAGCAGGAGTAGGGTGTGTTGTGTTGCATCCGAAGGATTCCAGCAAAATGCTAGTAGTGCAGGAAATCACGGGTCCAGTAAGTCAGTGGTACTTTGAAGGTACCCGAAACCTTCACTTCGTATCCTTTGCCTTAGGGTCTAACCTGACATTCCCTCTTCTTTTTAGGCAGCAGCTCGCAAGTTATGGAAAATGCCGACTGGCCTAATTGACCCAGGGGAAGATATAGGTGAAGCAGCGCTGAGGGAATTGGAAGAAGAAACTGGGTTGAAGGGTGCTACCTGCGAAGGAATCTTAGCCTTTCGACAGGCACATGGAGCTTCTGCTGGTCGAGCCGCATCGGATTTTTTCTTTGTCTGTCTCTTGTCCATTCCATCTACAGACGACGATGCAAACCAACTCGACAATCTGAAACCACAGGAACACGAAATCAAAGACATTCAATGGATGTCAGTTCAGAAATATGCTGACCAAGATGTCTGGCAAGCGTCACCAACCTACAAAAAACTGAATCAAGCAATTTTGGATGCTGTTGAAAACCAAAAGCAGGGTAAACCCGCTAGTTCGCTCATTGCCTCTGAACAACTTACGGTGGGGTTCATGCCAGGTCTCAACACTCTGTACAAAAGCAAATTGTAACTGTATAACGAAGTATGAAACATTGAGTTCCCTGTAAGCCATATACAAGTTTTCAAGGTAAAAGCATTTTCCTTATACTAGCAACAATGGAGGAAGACATTATACACAATTGCTGTCCATGTTGCATCCAAAGGATTGCGGAGTAAGCGGAGGAAAAACCTGCCGTCATCAAACCTGTCTTCAGTGGATCTAATCTGATATTCCCTTCTTTAAAATTCAAACGGCTCACAAGTTACAGCTCTCCAACGTCGTGGACTTTTTTTATGAATGGATGTATTTTGACGATTGATGAAGGCTCACCTGGACAAGGATTAGATTCCGAACTTTTCCTCTCCCATCTAATGTGCAGAATTTTCTGTCTCATTGCTTGCGTTGTGAATTGGCTTGAATTGAACACTTCTTTTCTTCGTTTTGTTATTAGAATCTCCGACTTCCTTCTTGACCCATCATCATTTTGGCTTGTAGTTTTGCGTGTTTCTTTGCTTCCTTTTTCTCTTTTTTGTCCTTTCGTTTCTTTTTGCGCTCTTTCTTTTTCTTTAGAGACTCGGGAGAGAGCATCTGCGAAGCTCTCATGGCAATTTTCTGGACATCGCTAAACGCGGAGGATCCTACATCAGCTCCTCCTTGTGGACCTTCAAAGGTGTCATAACCACCCGCTGCGATTCCAGGATCTTCAAAGGCAGCCACTGTCTCGTAGGCGTTCTGCAAGTCCTTCCATGTTGTTCCCAAATGGTGTGTCTCTCTCAGGCTCTGCCGTCTCTCTTGTTCGTCCATCAAAAACTCAGACAGCATTTGCAGCGTGTTGGGACTCGCAATCGATTGAGTACTCCTCACCCGATGAACCTTGGGAAGTTCATCGGGACCTTCGTCTCCAGCGGGCATCGTTGTTCTGAATTGAATGTACTGGTATGTACTACTGTACTAGCTAGTATAACTCCTTCCTTCAACAAGCTTTGAGTTTTGGCTCGTTACTGGTACCAGTACCGGTACGGATGAGGATGGATGAGGTTGTGGTGTTGTGGTTTACAGCTGTACTTTGCTTGGCTCTCCTCTGTTCTGGAAGTTGGATGTGTCAGAAAGGTATTTTCGTATGACGGACAGACGACTCGGGATCCACAATCACGGTTCGTGATTGGGGATGTGTGACTCAAATCAGATGGTTATCCGATCATCATCAGATGGCCAGTAGGTGTACGAGGAACGAGGACAATGGTCGTCTAGATGATGCAACTACAAAGGTTAGGAAGTTAGGTCGAAGAGATGAATGCAAGGAGCGACGGGATGGAGCAAATGAATGGACGGATGAAGGTCCATAGGTTTAGTAAAGTGGGAAAGCCCTCCAGGGCCAACCATGCACTTCAGGAAGATAGATCGACGAGATCTATCTGTAGATGAAACTGCGAGAAGCAGAGGATCGAAAGATCCTGGTATATGTATGCATATCGGAGCTCAGTTGTAGAGCTCACAATCTGAACGAGAGAGAAAGAGAAAACGAAACAGATAGCCAGTCTACTAGACAGTAGAGCTGGAAGGATATTGATTAAATTAGAGAAATTGTGCGTTCAAGTTCACACCTTTTCAACAAACCTAATTTTAAAACGATAGCTATAGGAAAGAGTGAGCTTGATAAGGTTGTCAAACAGAAGAAAGAAGAATTGAGAAGTAAGTAAAGATGTCTACGGAGGTAGAGGTATCATCGTCGAGCAAGTATCCCATCTTCGATGGGAAAGATGAGAAGTTCAGGTTCTACAAGGTCAAGATGATGGCCCATTTATCGAAGTATGGGTACGTAGAACTGATGAAAGACTCTACGGAGATCAAACCGGACAACTGGGAAAACCCTACAGGTACGGGCAAGTTGTCGGACGACGAAGTAGAAAAGATCGAAAGTTTGCAGAAGAAGAACAGCAAGGCTGCTGGAATACTGCTGGATTCGATCAATGTGGAGACCATCGAAGGGCAAGTCGCCTTCGACCTACTGGCCTCACACAAACGACTGACCATGCTGCTGGGAAATTCAAGGGCATGTGGGAGTCCATGCTGGACCTCTACGATGCTGAAGACAGTGGTGAGGTAGCAGCTCGACGAACGAATACTACGCGATAAAGATGGACATAAAGGAAAACCCAAAGAAGTTCGAGATTGGACTCGACGTGAAACGCAAGAAGCTAGCGAAGGATGGGTTCAAGATATCGGACGAAGAGTACATCAAAGACCTTCTCGAGAAGATGCCGAAGAAGGAAGGAAACTCGGAGTGTACCATGAAGTGAAGAAAGAATGTTCTGCGAAGGATCAAAACAACAGGACATGGAATAACGGTAAAGGGTTGGTGGATGACTTATGCGAAATCTACGATGAGATTAAAGCACGGAACAAGTCGACAGACCACAATGGCGAAACAGTTTCATGATTGGAGGAAAACAATTCAAGGGCAGATGCAGGAACTGTGGAAAGATCGGACACAAGCAACAAGATTGCCAGACAAGAAAGGCTCGAACGGAGAAGCTACGGACAAAGGTACCAAGGAAAGTCAAAACGGTAAATTCAGCAGGAACAATGGGAGCAGTGCGGATTTCAAGGAAAGAAAAAGTTCAGCGAAAGTGCTTCCACTGTGGAAAGATTGGGCACAGGAAATCGGATTGCCTAAAACTCAAAGCGGAAGACGAAATGTAGAAGGAGCAAACACAGCACAAGAAGACAACGGAAGAGATGGCATTCATGACGATGAGCGAAGAAAATGCATGCCATGCCGAGGAGTAGAGTTGTAGACGATGAAAGGAGGAGTAGAAGAAGCATCGGAATATGAAAGCAAAGAATGGGACGCGTTCTGGGACGTTTTTGAAAGCGGAGATGACGTGATGAAGATGGAGAAAGCTTGGAGCAATTAACATATGAGGCGATGGACGCCCTTAAAACTCTCCAAGAAGAAACAACAACGACTGAACAAAGAAGAATCAGTCACATACAAGAGACCCAGACGTTACCTATCTGTCCTGACGAAACAGACAGCAGGGCAGATTCCGACAGAGAAAACTCCACGATTTAAAGCAAAACGGCTACAACGAAGAAGCTTCTGAGAAGGAGGAGAAACAACGAACGACAAATTTCGCCCACAATCTACGAAGACGACAACTACTAACAGCTGGTTTGAGCGAAGACAGACGAAGAAGTAAAAGATGGCGAACAGATTCCAAGATGCCCGGAACGTGCTAGAGGAACAGCTGCACCGAGGTTGGAGTCGACAGCATTATGAAGATCAGCAAACATCAAATCCCATTGAACAACCGACATCCAATGAACCGAGCAAACGAAGGATGGGAATTGGACGATTCACACATATGCGGATACAGTGGAGGAGAATAGCGGAAGAAGCATGCGAACTAATCCCCGAGGAAATATGGGAAGGGCACACGCGAGCCCAGAGATGAAGCAACTTGTCGGAAACTTCGAACAGTTCAGATGGTTGCGGAGGATGATGCCATACGAATACAGAACAACCCCCATCTCAGTGGAGCTCCAGAGCGAAGTGCTAGGTTGGGCCAGCAGTTTTTTGCTCTTTCGCGATTGGACTCCGGACACGACAACAATTGCAGGGGCTATGTTAACGGCAAGATAAAGCGCGAGACCAAACGTCGCCGAAGGAACGGAAACGCAGGAATGTTCGGGTTCACGGCATTCAGCATTCCCGAAGTAGAAGTGAAGATATGTAACGGAGATGGTCGCACAGGCTCAATACAATCGGGATTGGAAAGTAGCACGTGGATAATA